TAATGAATTTATCATATATGTAGGACTACTGATGTTATGGTACTTGTTACAGACATATCTGGTAGCTCGTCGTACGACCATCTCGTCGGTTTTAGAAGTTTGTTCAAATGTGAGGGTCCCATACTGTACATGAATATTCCAGTTTTGGTCGAACTAGCGCCAGATATGCCTGAATCTTGATGTTCTTACATGATATTTTTAAATTTCGTTCTTGGTAGCCTAAAGATTTGTTGTCATTAGCTATATTGTTGTCTGTATGTTTTGACCATTTTAAGTTTGCTTGTAGTGTAAGGCCCAGATATTTAGCTGAAGAGACCAGTTCAAGTTTGTGATTGTGGGAGATATAGTCATGTTTAAACTGGTTTTTCTTTCTTTTGTGAGACTGTAATGACTGTGCATTTGTCTGGATGGAAAGCCATCAACCAGTCTTGCTCCCACCTAGCAGCTGCATCTAAATCCAACTGTAGTGCATCACAGTCACTTTGGGTTTTGATGGTTTTGTAGATGATACTGTCATCGAGCTTACTGGATAATAAGAATTCTGGTAGATCATTAATGTATACCAAGAATAATACTGGACCCAGAACTGTGCCTTGAGGGGCACATGAGGTGACTGGAGCCAGGTCAGATGACTCTCCATCCAGGACAACTGTTTGTGTTCCGTTACTTAAGAAGGCAGAGACCCAGCTTAGTGTTTCGTTTTTGATACCGTAGAAGTTTAATTTATAGAGCAATATTTTATGAGGAACTTTGTCAAAGGCTTTGGCAAAGTCAAACTTAATTAAGTCTGTTTGTGTGTTGCTGTTATTATTTGCTGCGAGTTCTTGAATGAATGACATTAGTTGCGTTTCACAGGATCTAGCTTGACGGAAGCCATGCTGGAGGTCATACAGCATATTGTTCTTTTCAAGATGGTTTATGATGTGTTTGGTGATGATATGTTCAATAAGTTTACAAGAAATACATGTCAATGATATCGAGCGGTAGTTTTCTGGGTTGTATTGTTCCCATTTTTTGAATACTGGTGCTACATTTGCATGTTTCCAATCTGTTGGTGTTTTGCCAGTTTCAAGTGATGTTTTAAAGATTAGTGTAAGAATCGGAGGTGTTTGATCTTTGAGTTCTTTTAATATTCTGCCACTGATGTTAGCTGGGCCACTTGCCTTATGTGGTTTATGCTATGCAGTAGTTTCTTGACACGAGGTTATGATATTTCTAGTGGTGTTATCACGGATGGAATGAACGTTTCACTAATAAATGGAAGTAAGAACAAGGAATGTTTCCTTTTTCCTTTTTAATTCATTGAACAAATACATTTCATCGGTCGTTTCTGTTATGTTGCCTGCTAGCCTTATCAGCGGGATTTCGCTAAGAGGCTAGCTTGACGCCATATTGTTTTGGTTAGAAACGGGGCGTGGCTTACGTGCGATGGGAGGACCTTTACACGATTGATCATGATTCTATCGCAGATTAGAACATGGTCCGTATCCAATCAAAACACGCGTTGCAAACGAATCGTGTTAGAATAAGTATTACTAGAAGAAATTGCACTAGTAACTGTAACTGGTAGTGATTCCACCAGTATTTATGACCAGTAGTAATTACAATAGCAATTACCTATAACAGGTGATTTATTAATTTCTTCAGTAATTAAACTAGAATATATTTAATATACGGAGAATTTAATGTTTGTTTAAAGCATTTGTTTCATTGCAATACAAATACATAACAAAACAATACATACAGACGTAGGTATTTTCATAGTGATCATGGGAAGTTTATTGTGACGTCATAATACACAGGCGACATACGAAAAAATGTCCAATTAGATATTCCCATTTAGTGATAGTTTCACGAATCACTTGGATTTGTTTTCCAATTTTTTCCCAACCATTATTTGCTCGCTCTTCGATTTAAATATAAACTGTACTAGTTACTGATCCCTGTTCCACTGCACTGTAGTTTTTAGTATAAACAGTAACCTCCCCTTCATTTTGCCGTTGACATAACTGTAGCTCATTTGGGTCAGACAACTACCGTCGACCAAGTAGCTCAGTCGGTCAGAGCGATAGTACAATGTCCAAAATTCTGCAGTCCGGGGTTCCAATACCAGTCTAGTCTAACTTGTTTTTTTTACTTGGAACACTGCTTGTTTTGTTCTCTTATTTCATAAAAGTCCAGCAACATATGGGTTTCGTTTCAGAAATAATTGACCAAAGCTACATTCGTCCCGGCAAAATCGGTTGTCCAGTGAAAAGTTACAGTTTTGGCAGTGACGTGAAGATTCTTAATCCAATGCTGATTTGTTTTAAAACTTATGGAATGTTTCGTAAGGATGGATTTTATGTATCTATGAACGCTGTGATGACATAACCCGTTTTTGCAATAACAAATATCATTAGCGTCAATGGTTTCAAGCGTAAAGAATGTAGATTTGTGTATCAGGCCAATGCAGGCAATAGATGGTAGTATTTACTCCAGAAACGCTCGATTTTCAAGATCAAGTGGACCTAATACAGTCTACTTTTATTCAGAAATTCGGGCTACGTTTCAAGATTTCAGGTCATAATGTTCATAAGGATTGAATGTTTTTGCTCGTAGAGTATGCAGTATAACAGGATAATGTTTGACAGTTATTTTCGTTATTTTTCATGACGGCTAATATTATACCAATGTTGGACGATAATGACCATGGGAGCATATGGATTTTAATGGCGATAGGCGAATGCTTCCATGTTCAATCCGTCTCCTTCCACACACGTCATACTATTAATGTTTTAAGGAATATCTTTCTTTAATTAACCATATTTTACTAATACATTAATTCAAAACAACATTTATAAACATTTTACTTTGAGTTATTGGGGATAGGAAATATGTAGTATAAACCCTTACCTATCCAATACGAGATAATATGGATGTATTGTTTAACCCGTTTGTTTATTTCATTGCTTTATAGTGTCAACTTACCTTTTTTTTTTCAATTTGTTCTACAATAGGAAAGGTTTGTATATCTTATTACTACTATAATGAAACTGCACTGTGTCTCTCGACTGCTAGTATTGGTGGCCGTTAGCTTTTGTTTATCAGCTGCTGACACGGAATCTCAAATTGCTACTATGGATACTAAATCAAGGAATATTTCACCCTTTGTGTTGGAATTGATGAAACCGTATGGACGAGATGAACTGTTGTCATGAGAACGAGGTCAGTATTCTTCATAGACGAATTGAAGCTTTGTAGACTCGTCATACCAGTGATTTGCAACAAATGTCAGTTCGCGATAAGAAAATTAACGCTCTAGAGAAACGTGTCAACCATCTGCACGACTTTGTCGTTAAGCATATTATGGAACATGGACATCAGTTATTACGGGGTCCTAACCATGAAATAAATTATGCAAAAGTAGAACAGACTTTTTACACAGAGAACAGTTCTAGTGGTTATGGGAGACGGAGTGGACATAAAAACAAGGTGACCGTCGACACAGTTAGCTTCATAATTAATTGTTTTGTATGTTATATATCTATAGTTCTTTTTTTGTGTGTGGAATAGATGCTTTCGTTTTTGTATATTCGACAATATCGCGTGCTATTTAAATTAACCAGTTTTCATGCTAGATATGAAAGCTATATTGACCAGGTATGAAGACATTACAAAGATAACATATTTATTCCAGGTTCTTCCTTCAACACTGGGATCGGATTACATGCTATTCCTGTCATGTAGTTGAAAACCCCGGTATTGGTCAGTTAATCCCTTTTCGTACCGTCATCACGAATCTTGGCAATAACTTCAGTTCAAACTCCGGTATCTTCCGCTCTACCCAGGCCGGGTTATATGTGTTAAGCTTTACGGTAGGCCACAATGAATGGGTATACGCGCAAATCCAACAAAATGGCAACATGATATCGATAGTGACCTGTGTAAATGGATATCACTGGAGTAGTTGCACTGGAACCGCCGTAGTTGAACTGGCAGGATGATGAGGTATGGGTCACCGTCACAGGCAAACCACAATCTGAAGTACATCTGGAATCGGCATTTTCATCGTTTTCTGGGTTTCTTCTTCAATGGAATGCTTACTATTGAGCGCAGACGAAGATTACTAGTAGATGATTTGTGCTATGTGTCTGTGTGTAAAGATAAGAACCAACTAACTCATACTATAATATTTATCGTGTTATCGCATTAAAGTAGAGGTCAACTCATTTCTCAGTCTCTGCAGGTGGGAATAAGATATGGCGAAGCTCCTACAGAATGTGGGAGTTTCTTTAGAATCCTCTACTTGGATACATGAAAGAAAACCAAAAGAATTCTGCTGTGCCCATTGCAACGTTTAAGCATTGGTCTTTTGAGCGTTTCCCTTAACTAGGAATGTTGTGGAATCTGTGCCCCGGTCAAATTATGTATTATAATAACCAGTGAGATTTACAAATCTGATAATTTCGTTTTTACATAGAATCCGCGCATCATATAATACATGGATTAGGCCTCCTAAGGACCTTATCCCAAATGATTGTAAAACATCGTAAATGATTGTGAATATTTTGCCCGATATTAAGCAAAACGTTTTGTTTTTGTTATTTGATTTACATTAAGTTTATTTAGTGTGAAAAAGCAGTTAAAATGACATCGTTAACTAGCAGGGATCGCCTAGATTATGTATCATACCTTGAAGTAACTGAACCATTAATAAAAACTACAAGTTACTGTACTTGTAACTATAACTAGTAGCAATTTTACTGTAGTTACTAAACCAGTAAGCATATTATAAAACATGATGGTACAATAACTAGAAATAAACCATTAATTAAGTTGATAACTTCTCTCATAGCTTAGCATGTAGAATCTAGACAATGTTTACATTTATTTCAGTAGTTAGTTAAAGTGTTGCTATTATGCAGAAACGTGATTGTAGACTAGAAATTTTACGATTAAGACTTAGACAGTATGTTACTATAGCCTAGACAGCTGTATGGCTAAAGTAGAAACCCATTGTGAGAGATATGACATTACTTGACCGAAATTGTTATCAGCAAGATTTGGTACACTTTGATGTCGGCGTTTTCTTCGAGCAGGTGGGTTGACAATTAAGATATTTTAACAAGATTTCAAGTATAACAATGACATGTATTGAATATTTGAACAGTAACGTACAGACATTATTCTTTTCATTGTTATTGTGCAAGACTGACAATATGTCGAGTGTTGTTGTAGTAATTTTTTAATGATTTGCACTATACTAGTTAAGCGAAATCGATGCTGACATGTTAAACGATTTACATCATGATCCAATAAGATGGAATTTAATTTTCAACTCGATTCAATATATATATGCTCTCAATGTTTTCATTATTTCATTACCTCATAAATGTTGAAACAACATTTAATTTTCATGGTAGCTTTTAATTTAACGTTGCAAAAAAGGAAGAATGTCACCACAGTATTTGTATTCTCAAAGCAAATTCACTTTGAACGTCAAATTGACAAAAAGACATTCGATTGCTGTTTATGAGACATTTTGTTTCAAAATTTTGGACTAGACTTCAAAATTTTAGATAATTAGTGTTCATAAAGATAATGCTTTTTGAGAGTATGATGTAATTATTAGTTCAGTGCGTAGTCTGCACCTTTTCTAATTTGTATAATGAATCTAACACGTACAAAACATTTATTTTTCCGGCAGAGTGAGATATAGACTATGGGGTGTATATATTTGAATGATGGTATGCGTATTTTACACTATATTCATGTCTTTCTTTGCACGCTATACTATGATTTGTTTTAGAATAATCTTTCTTAGATACAACTTTGAATTTAAAGAATTTATGTACATATATGTACATGTATATATTATATATATCTTTCAAATTTACTTAAGGGTCACGCAAATGAATTCAAAACACTCATACAATATTCAATTTGAACTATTATGGAAAGAAAGTTAAGGTTTCAGTAAGATATATAATGTTTCTTCAAAACGAGGTTATATTTTCCCTCTCCTAATACTTTACAGTGGTACCTTTCTCCTCAATTTGTTCTATCACAGGAAACGTTTGCATACCATGACTATCACGATGCCTCTGCACTGTTTCACTCTGCTGCTTGTATTGACGGCCGTCAGTATTTGTCTATCAGCTGCAGACACAAAACCCCAAATTCCTACCATGAATAACCAATCAAGAAACATCTCCCCGTTAGTAGTGGAATTGATGAACCGTATGGAGGAGATGGAGCGTCGCCATGGGAACGAGGTTAATATTCTTCACAGACGAATAGAAGCTTTGGAGAATTTCCATGCCAGCGATTTGCAACAAATGTCAATTCACAATAAGAAAATAAACACTCTAGAAAATCGCGTCAAGTTTCTGAACGACTTTGCCATTAAGCATATTGGGAAACAGGGACACCGGCCACTACGGGGTCCTAAGCATGCAAAAGCAGAACATTCATTTGACGCAAAAAGCGGTTCTGATGGTAATGGGAGTCTGATTGGATATAATAAGGTAACCGAAAACACGCATCGAAAAGGAAGCACTATTAATATTCATCCGGGAGTGAGGTCTCACCAGAGCAGGATCACCCGAGTCGGTAAGCAATTTAACGTTAAAATTGTTTTATATTACCATCAAACATTTGTTTTACTCATATGAAACTGGTTTATAAGTACTCACCTTTTTCATACATGCTTCTATTCACTTCTGCAGATTTTGGAAGGGGGGAATAACATTTCTGCTGCTACCCCCTGCATTTCGTATGTAATAGGGTACTGCAGTGGAAATCCCTCGAACTGTGGATTTGCATTTGTAATTGCTGCTTCGAAACACAAAAGTGACAACATAAAATACGCTGTATTCATTGCAACATCTTTCAATGTTGTCTCTACATTTTACACATTATATTTGTTCTGTCCCACGGCCACGACAGACCAAATTCCTTAAAAATAATAAATGTTACACCCTGCTAAACGTCCTATTGTAACAACTGGTTTGCCCGTCAGCGTACATATTTCAGAGGTCTTCTAAGTCTAGCCCTTTTCGCCCTTGAATGTTGGGCTAAATGAGGAATGACGTTCTTGTATATAGTGTTCTATTGTATATATTTTGTGGGCGTCAATTCTTCAATGCGCTAACCTGTTGAATTTCAATAATAATCTAGCATTTAGGTCCACTAAAGTATGTACAGTAATATGATAAGGCACTGGGTGAATGGTATTTCAGTGAGATAGCACTCTATAAATAATTGACATCAGATCTGCACTATCGAAAGGACGCAAATAAACCAACATACCACCGACAGCAGACATACACACATGCAAACATACATTACACACATGGAGACACGTCCTTAAATGACCCTAGCCGTTCATAGAACGCAAACCCTATTAAAGCCAACACTAAACAAAACCATATGGTAAAATCCGTGCACTATCCCTCTTTGTGATTATGAGAGGCTTCTTATGTGGGCTCCGGGGGTGGTTTCTTCCCTGTCATCTATATAGGGGACATTAAACAAATCAAATCAAGAAAAGACTGCCTTTATGCCACTGAAATGTGTATTGTAAAAGGCGACTAATGCGTTGGGACCTGCAGAGTTGGTATTTTCCTTGGAGTCTTCATCGAACCAATGGACCAACATTGACCTGCTGCCCCGATTGTAACACTTGGGATCTTTTGTCCTTCCTGTAATCTTTCTTTTCGCTCTCCCTTCTGTTTCAGGCGGGTCTCCCTAGGCATCCGTTCTCATATGTCTTTTGTGAGGACGTCAAACCAAAACAAACAAACAAACAATTTGGTCTCTGTTTTATGTGGAACATATGTTTTGTTCATTTATATGTGACAAAAATAAATTCTAAATCAATTTGTATGACTACTTATCAGTATGATACAACTGGAAAAACATGAATTGATGAAAAACAAAGATATGTAAACAGGGATAAATCTACACGTGAGTCCCGAGTCCTATAGTCGTAGAATTGCTACCGGACTCACAGAATTTCTGGAAATACTTAAATTTAATATAGTGGGACTCATTGTTTTTAGCAATACAGTTGAAAAGGACTCGTGAAAATGAATTGTAGATTAATCACTGTGTAAACGTATAATGCATTCATTCCAGGTTCATCCCAAAACACTGGAATCGGATTCCATGCCATTCTGGATCATATTGTTGAAAATCTTGGTTTGGGTCAATCAATCGCTTTTCACAACGTCATCACGAATCTTGGTAATGCCTACAGTCCTAACTCCGGAATCTTCCGCTGTACCCAGAACGGATTATATGTGTTAAGTTCTACGCTATCCTTTGATACACATGAAAAGGTAGACGTGCAAATCCAACGAAATGGCAACATGATATCGAAAGTGACCTGTGGGAGTGACGATCACTGGAGTAGTTGCACTGGAACAGCGGTAGTTGAACTGGGACAGGGTGATGAGGTTTGGGTCGCCATGACTAAAAAACATCAACCTGGATCACACATGGAACCATCATTTTCATCATTTTCTGGGTTTCTTCTTCCTTGGTCTGAATCGCATTGAGCGCAAATAAAGATCACGAGTAGTTATTGGTGTATAATTATGTAAGTTTATTAAATCAATAAAAAAAGAATATTTCAAGAGTGAACTTGTATTGTATTATAAATCACTTTTAGGTAGGGTCTTTCATTCCCTTTACCACACAGGTCCATCCGCGATATCTAGGGGTTACGCTTACTTTCGCTCTCTGCACCCATGGAATATGTCATAGCAAAAATAACGGCTCGGTGTGCGCTACCTTGTTGATGAGACAAAACTAGTTCGACCCTTTGATGTACATCAATAGAATCTCGCGGTCACGTAACGGTAAAAATTGACAGGCTTTGGAGTTGGGCGTCTCTCCTTTGTAATCGTCAAAGGACAGGTCTCAGCCTAGCGATTGGTCAGTTCTTTTTACCTAATCATGGCTATCTTCGTGCCTTTAATTTTGCTATGACATGTTTCAGGGGTGTAGAGTGCGAAAGTGAACGTTACCCCTGGATATCGAGGATGCTAGAGGTTAAAAAGTAAGAAAGGTGATTCGTAAGGGGCGACTTATTAGGACCCCATGCAGAACTTCTTCTGTGCCGTCTTCTACGGGGCACAAAAGAACGTCTAAACAAATATGCTGTACACATTTAGGATAGTTGCAACAACTGGTCTACCAATTGTCAGTGTAACATGATCGGGTGGAATACTGTGCTGTGTGCTTTCGGCATGGTATTACAATAAGGCAGCACTATAAAGTCAGCATCAGATCCGCGCTATCGCAAGGAGTTAAATACACCAAAAATAGCCTGCATCAAGCACAGATTGCAAATGTACACATACAGTAAAAACACGGGGATGCACGTCATTGAAATACCTTAGGTGTTGATAGGACGTTAAACAAAACAAAACACAAAACAAACAACAATCATTGCAACTTTACTGATTCTTTTATTTTCTCGCCTTTCTCATTGCCTTTTCTCAAGCGCTTAATTGTACAACTCGTCGCTTTGAGTAATGGGTAGGTGCGTTCGCGAAGAATGTTGTAGGCTCTGCCCCAGACAAAAACATGGCATAGCCTATACACTTGGCACCTACTGCTCTCAGCTGAATTGCCCGTTGTAAGTATAATCTGAGGTAGCAGTGTACAGTAGAGGGTTGTGGCCATGGGTGATATTTTTGTTAAATGGCTAACCCCTGTATAATGATATGTAAAAAAATTATAAAAATAAAACTGTACTAAAATTGGTATAAGCATGATGAAGTGGTTTGAGAATAAAATTTTGGCCATAATCCGAAAGGGTGCGTACACATGAAAAGCAAGCTTTACAGGGACCCAGATAATTCTGCAACCAGGTAGGTAATTGTTAATTTCAGACAGAGCTTAGGAAAAAAATACTAGTTGCGGGGGTCAAATTTTGGGTTGAGAATAGCAATTTTTGGCATTTTTTGGTAATTTTTGATGTGGTAACCATGGTTTTCACACAAGTGACATACATAGAAAAATGAGGTTTATACACTTCTCAGTACTTTATATGTATTGTAAATGTAATGCAGTTTACAAATAGATATACATGTATACGTGTAAATCCGCTGTGTTTACTTTTCCTCGACATGTGCCTTGTTTATCAGAGTCGGGCCTTTTCTACTGTATACTGCTACCTGAGCGATAAGAGTGTCATATTACCGTGTCCAGGTTATGCCATTGAAGTGAAATGGCATTTCAAAGTGGTCCATGTAGAATATTGGACTGTCTGGGTATTACTGCCCGTGTACCTCGGAGTTTAGTATAACACTTTCGGGATTCCCCGTTATTGTTATGTGTATGATAATCAACGAGAGATTCGAATGTAATAAAACCATGTGCTTGGAACGCCATTGTTAAGAATCAGAATAAGAAAGATAGCAAGGATAGTACAGTCCATGAGGGGCCTCGTCATTCCATGGACACCGTTTTCACGTGACAATGTTGCTTTATATAATCACTGACTTTTCTTTATTTCTCTTCGTTCAGATTACGAACTTTAGAGGTTGTGGGTCATTTTGGGAAATTATAATATAACCTATAACACTTTATGTTATTCGAGTTATGTTTCATGGACGTATTAATTTCATAAATATCACGACGCGTACCGCATATTAGTTTAACTCCGTGCTATATCGATGATTCATTGGCAAAAGCAATTTTGTGATAAAGAAAATGACCACGTATATTCCGTTCGCATTTACCCATTTGCGAACGTAAATGGGCAACGCAACTCCAGCTTAAACAATGGCAATCAATGAGATCTGTTTTCCTTGTACATCTACATATTACAGCAAGATACTTTCCTCTGCTTATTCAAGTCTACTCAGCTGTAAATGAGTACGTGGTTGGGCAGTGTTAGAATTGTAAAATGCTAAATGTGAGCGCCGAAATGACAGCACCGGCTGTATGTTCCCCTGGGAGTTGAGAATGATATTGGCTGGTTGCAAAGGCCCTATAACCACGGATAATAATTTGTGAACCGCTTTGAGACGACCTACGAACTAGCTGGTTGTTATAAAGTGGCATATAAGAACCTTGAATTATTATTATCATTATCTAGATACAAAAAAGACCGTTGGGGTACTTAGCCTTAACTACACATATCAATGTGATTCTAAATTCACTCAAATCTACGTTAAACAAATAGAATATACAATTTCGATGCAATTATCGTTGTGAACATTCAATATCGCAGTTTGCCAATCTAGCACTAAATTATGTACTATTTAAAAAAGTAATAATAACGTACTGCAACGACAACACAGCGCGATATTCATGACATCTAATGCTCGCTATGTTGTTCTCATCATTTAATGTAAGAAGCCTGCGGGATGAAATGTCTGCACAGTATATCGTTTGTCTGCAGAGGTACTACACTTTACGTATGACTGGTTTGTAGTCTACGCAGCAATGGTAGAGTATTTCGACATATATGGTATGCAGCAGTATGCAGTGACAAACGCGAGTTGAAGGTCTGATTAAAACAACAAGAGATTACCAGTCAAAACCACAATCTTGATTCAAAATCGATAAAAATAGGGCAAACACAACGAGAAAATACCAAAGTGTCAACATTACCATAATTTGACATCAAAACCGATACAAATTTGGCAAATACGAAGAGGAGAGATTACCTGGAGACCCTTGTAAAGGCACGATAGAGAAAAAGAACCAGGTGTTCCGGAAGGGTAGCCGACTTCGGCTTTATCGACGGCAACTGCCATGTAGATCTTGATCGAATCCAAGTAATGTAACGACCTCTCATCAAGAATTCCGGAAGTGACAACAACTCAAAAATGCACACTAATGAGCATACTAAAACAATCGACCTTCACAGCACACAAAGAAATACAATGTTTCCGTACGAGATCGTGATGACGACCATAACACTTGTCCATAATCTTCATCGGCCTCGTTTGTAACCCTGTGTTTAATCACTTGATTGTAAGTCGTGGTCATCCGTGTATGGCGTCCATTTATCATGTTTAAAAATGACATTAGGACCAAACCGTGTGGCTTAATTGTTTGAAAACATAATACTGTAAATGTTTTATTTAATTTAATTTATCGATAAAGTAAATATAAAATACAAAGATAAATCTATTAATTTATAACAATGAAACAGTCAATATTGTAAATAAAGTAACAATTATTTTCTCCCTTTAATAATGGCGAATGATACTATTCTATCACCCAATTATTAACAGAATTCAATGAGACAGTATATGTGCACAATAATAACCATAATTTGTGACGTTATGTATCTGTCAAGGATACAATAGATAAACTGTATGTAACTGTAATCACTCATTAAGAAAGATTTATTACATAGTCGTTGCTCGACTTAATCACACCTCAGGAAATTGGCTTGTACATTGTTTGTCCCCTTGCTTTGAATCGGACGATCATTTCCAAACGTACGCAGGAACGGGTGACCTATTTCGGCGGATTGCAGCGCCATTAAAATCCGGTAACTCTGTCAAAATATATAGAAAAAATTTATACTGAAATGAAAAGTACATTTCAATTCATTTGTTCTACCGACTATGATATTTGATTACTTCAAAGACATTTAAAATGTTCAGTTGTGTTTTTTGTTGGTGAATAAGTCCATGTATTTTGGTTTCATATACTTAAAAGCAGAAACCCTTAAAGAATGTATCATGATAATCTGCAAATCCTATTTGTTGATTGGAAACAAAACCGAAGAAAGAACTTACAATTCTTTGAAATCTTCCACTCGAAAGGTCAACATTTGTAGGGAACATATAGCAGTATTCGATGCACGCTACGGTACAATCAACATACCCTGTGGCAGATGGTTGTCGGTGTGTTGTATACAATCCAAATGATATTGGTGTTGCAAGGTGGTGTGGTTTTAGATCCCTTATATGTGTAAAACATGCCATCCGCTGGCAGTAAAAGACTCGGGTTAGCAAACGCTGGGTCTGAAGACAAAAAATAGATACAACGAGATTAGCTTGTATGGCCTTTAACATAATAAACATATAACGTCACATAATTGAATGTTTAATATCAAATGCCAAAACAAAATATTTGGCAAAATAATGAATATATAAATATCTTTATATGGTATCGAATTCTACATTGAACGTCTCATTTTGTAATTCACGTGATGTCTTATATTTCATGTTCTAGCAGTGCTTCGTGTAGCTCGTGAGGTGTCTTTCCATCCGCCGCCTCGTATTTGTTGGTATGGCACGTGATTTAATCACATCCTCGTATATCGTTATGTCACCATTGCCTCGTATTGATATTAATAGATCACCTGATGAGATATCGTTCATTATCTCCTTTTGCCGAGTACAGTACATGGGTTGTCTGACCATTCCCTATCCTGTATTGTGTGTAAAGGCTACAGGATATCGTATCCTTCATTATAGGGTATTGTCGTGTGTCTTCACGTGAGGTGTTTACTATCTCCATCTGTCTTGTCTTCACGGCAGGTGTTTAATATCTTCTTTTGTCCTGTGTCTTCACGTCAGGTGTTTAATATCTCCATCTGTCTTGTGTCTTCAGGTGAGGTGTTTACTATATCCATCTGTCCTGTGCCTTCACGTCAGGTGTTTAATATCTCCATCTGTCTTGTGTCTTAACGTCAGGTGTTTACTTTCTCCATCTGTCTTGTGTCTTCACGTGAGGTGTTTACTATCTCCATCTGTCTTGTGTCTTCACGTCAGGTGTTTACTATCTCCGTCTGTCTTGTGTCTTCACGTCAGGTGTTTTCTATCTCCGTCTGTCTTGTGTCTTCACGTCAGGTGTTTACTATCTCCATCTGTCTTGTGTCTTAACGTCAGGTGTTTACTATATCCATCTGTCTTGTGTCTTCACGTGAGGTGTTTACTATATCCATCTGTCTTGTGTCTTCACGTCAGGTGTTTACTATCTTCAGATGTCTGGTGTTTTCACGTTATGTGTTTACTATCTTCATCTCTCTTGTGTTTTCACATTAGGTGTTTACTATCTCCATCTGTCTTGTGTTTTCATGTTAGGTGTTTACTATCAGCATCTGTCTTGAGTTTTCATGTTAGGTTTTTCAAGATAATTGCAGTAAACACCTAACATGAAGACACAAGACAGATGGAGATAGTAAACACCTAGCTTAACTCTTTCCGTACCGCAACTCCGGTCCGGATTCCGTACTGGCAGTACTTATTAGACTCGCCCCCGCGCCTATAACAAAATGGCGGATTATTAATGTACTCTTTAGACTCGGTGTAACTGTCGCAAGAATTAAACAGGTAACCGTGAACAAATATTGTTATTGTTTCATGTTCTGGTTTATTGACAAACACTCCTTCATTTTCGCAGCATAATGACTAACTGGGAGCTGATTATGACTGAGAAATCGACACTTGTCTGGCAATAAACGATCCGATTCCTTGTATTTAACACAGTGTTGTAGTGCAGGTTTCCAATGGGGATTGATTATGGTTACGAATGTGGAGTCGTTGAGTTTTTTTCTAATTACAAGTAGATTTCATCAAGACTTATTTAGAATATTCAAATTTACTTCCATAAGTCTCAACAAATATCTGATGATGAATTTACGAGTGTTCGTATCGAATTCAGTTGCCGCCATCTTGTTTACATTTGAGGCACCACACGCAAACATCTTGCGGCAAATGCGAAAACATTAAGTCACATAATAAAAAAGTATACTCTGCACAAATAAAATTATTTCTTCCAAACTGATGGGTTCTGATTTTAGCGACAATTAATTGTTTTTTCGCGACAGTCTCGTGCGATAACCGACTAAACATCAGGCAGATTACATCAAAGTCTCGTGTCGTGTGTACACGACAACGGGGATGAGACGGCCCTTTATTTTGTCGTCTGTACACGACAACGGGGATCAGGATGACATATTGTTGTCGTGTGTACAACAATTTCATATTTCAAACCATGAAATAGTTTGAAATATGTACAAAGGGAGACAATTCCTATGAAAATTCATTTTAAGATTATAAATGTATATATTCCTTCAGCTTTCTCAGTTTTCTAAGTAATACAGCACATATTTTTTTCTTCAATTCTCCCTACATCAGTAGACACAGTAATACATCATAAGGTATTTAGTATGTCATATTGGCATGGGATAGCAGTATATTGTTTCTCCCTGCGATACTCTTCACTTTGTTTTCCTCCTACCTTTGACTGCCTCGTACCGTCTTGCGTGATACACGTACTTCAATATAAGTCTATCTGCTTCGGTGTGACAACGTCTAACGACCTATTAAAAAAAATACAGGTAAATTAACCGGATTTTCTTCTACAGTGTTACATTCAAGCGAACATTGTTTTATTTGCCTACTTGATGACATTTTAATTAATTGTGAATACATCAGCTGGACAAGGTGAAAGTATTAGTTAGTACAACATATCTGTACTAGTGTACAGGAGCAAGTTAGAGATCATATTTGTATCATAAAAGTTAACTATGATCAACAGATGTTGGAAAATCAATAGCCATGCTGCGTAATTAGTTAAAAGGCGAGAGTAACGAAGTCTAAAATTGAAAAAATAAATATACACCTTTTTTCAATTTTAAACTTCGCAACTCTCGCTCGCCTTTGAATTGAATACAATTTCAATAAAAAAAAAATCAAAGGCGAGAGTAACGAAGTCTAAAATTGAATAAAATACACCTTTTTCAATTTCAAACTTCGCTAGTCTCGCCTTTGAATTAAATACAGGTTAACCCCCCCCCCCGCCCCCCCCCCTTTCCATCAACTGTTAACCAATATGTTTTTTACTGTTCAATGACTTTTTTTCATTCAAATATATGACTCTTGCATAAAGAAAATGATATTATTATGAATTTGGTAATGTACTCCATTTCATATTTAATTTTAAAATCGAACATCGTTACACGTTATGATAGGGTTAGCCGTTGTTGTTTATTTTAATTTAAATGTGGAAACAAGAGGCCCAAAGGGCCTGTATCGCTCACCTGAATATATGTTTAAAATAATTGGTATGAAGTAAAGATATAGCACTCCATGGTAGGTGCTGTAAGTACATATGAAATTTCAGAAAGATCTATCATGTTCTTGAGATATAGCAAGAACAAACTTCAAACAGAGCCCCACCCCTATGCCCTAAGGGGGTCATACCCACCATTTATACAAAATGACCCAAGGATGCTCCAGACTAAATTAGGATACAATCCCTTAATCCCTATGGTAGAAGAAAGATTTTAAAAGTCTTACCTCTATTTCCCCTATCTGCCTCTAGGGGGGTTAGACACACTGTTTATACAAAATTGGTACCCCTTCACCCAAGGGTGCTTCATACCAAATTTTGACAAAATCCTGCCATTGAAGAATTTGCTATGCTTCCCCTATTGGGCCCTTCCCTTCTGCCCCCGGGGGGGGGGGGGGGCACACTCGCTGTTTATTCGTAATAAGGCACTTTTGCGCAAGATAGCTCCAGACTAAATTAGGATAATATCCCTTAATCCCTATGGTAGAAGAAGGATTATAAAGATTTTACCTCTATTTCCCCTATTTGCCCCCCCCCCCATTCAGGTCCCAGGGGGCCACACCCACCGTTTATACAGAATTGGTTCCCCTTTACCCAAGGATGCTCCACACTAAATTTGGACCAAATCCTTTCCTTCCTACAGAAGAAGAAGGATTTTGAAGAAAATTTGCTATGTTTCCCCTACATTACAGATGTTCTATTTCATCTTTAGTGGGTTTTTTTCATTACAGTCCCAAATGTATGGCCCTTCCTTCTCAGATATGATCCATTAATACTACAGTCTTGCCGGCAGTGGCACGGGGATCCCTTACACAACTTACATTGAAGAAGATTCCTATAGCTACCAATCCGTCTGTGGCTTCGGACCCTTTCTCGTATGTTCTTAACTCCTCTGTCTTCTTCCAATGAACCATGTGAATCTAGTAAAGATCAAACCCAATATCAATTTGGTATCGTTATTTCAAATTTAAAATATACCAAACACTGAGTAAAAAATATATACTGAAAATCAACATATAAAAACACAATCGATACTCAAGGTTGATACGTAGAGACAGAAACAGGAACAGTGGAAAACGGAAGAAAGTAAGATGATGCAGTCACATAGAAATAGAAGCTGGAAAAGGTGAGCTGGTTGGTCGTAAAGGGTTTAACGGCTTATCAACAGCTAGTAGCCAGAAGAAAACAGCTTTTCCCAGACATTTGAAGCATTTTGGCAACACTTTTTCGTTCATGTGAAATGGATAAATAAAAAAAGATTGAAATCAAGGTAAATTTACAATTAAGAAAACGAGAGAAAAAAGGGGATCAAATATAAATTGTAACTCAAATATCGTAGAAAATGCAGTGTAATTCATTTTTGGCACACCGTATATATTACCAAACTTTGTAAGGTGCAATCTCCTGTGTGTGATATATTCATCTTTCAAGATACATAGTAGAAGAATATGCTGGTGAATTTCTTAGCCACTTAGAACCCGAGGTTAGTCGTAACCTTCACAGACACAGTAATCTTTTTAAAGTAGTGGCACGGTTAATAATATTCACACATTACTCATGTAATTTGAAATTAACCAGTACGCCTCTCAATTTGAATTCCTAAAGTTCTGTTATACATGTACCTTTTTGGATTTCTAACTTTTTGGACCCTAGCATCACTGATGAGTCCCAGAAGGAAAACCCAGCTGTATGATGCAGGACACAGCAGCTATATGATGTAGGAAAAAACAGCTGTATGATGCAGGAAACAGCAGCTGTATGATGCAGGAAAAAACAGCTGTATGATGCAGGAAACAGCAGCTGTATTATGAAGGAAACAGCAGCTGTATTATGCAGGAAAAAACAGCTGTATGATGCAGGAAACAGCAGCTGTCTTATGCAGAAAAAACAGCTGTATGATGCAGGAAAAAACAGCTGTATGATGCAGGAAAAAACAGCTGTATGATGCAGGAAAAAATCAGCTGTATGATGGAGGAAAACCCAGCTGTACGATGCAGGAAAAAACAGCTGTATGATGCAGGAAAATTCAGCTGTATGATGCAGGAAAAAAAAGCTGTATGATGCAGGAAAACCCAGCTGTATGATGCAGGAAAAAGCAGCTGTATGATGCAGGAAAAAACAGTTGTGTGATGCAGGAAAAAACAGCTGTTTGATCCAGGAATGAACAGCTTTTTGATGCAGGAAAAATAGCTGTATGATGCAGAAAAAAGCAGCTGTATTATGCAGGAAAAAACAGCTGTATGATGCAGGAACCAGCAGCTGTATTTTGCAGGGAAAAAGCAGCTGTATGATGCAGGCATAAACAGCTGTATGATGCAGGAAAAAACAGCTGTATTATGCAGGAAAAAACAGCTGTATGATGCAGGCAAAAACAGTTGTGTGATGCAGGGAAAAAACAGTTGTTTGATCCAGGAATTAACAGCTTTTTGATGCAGGAAAAAACAGCTGTATGATGCAGAAAAAGGCAGCTGTATCATGCAGGAAAAAACAGCTGTATGATGCAGAAAAAAACAGCTGTATGATGCAGGAAAAAACAGCTGTATGATGCAGGAAAAAACCGCTGTAAAACAGCTGTATGATGCAGGAAAAAGCAGCTGTATGATGCAGGAAAAAGCAGCTGTATGATGGAGGAAAAAACAGCTGTATGATGCAGGAAAAACAGCTTTATGATGCAGGAAAAAACAGCTGTTTGATGCATGAAAAAGCAGCGGTATGATGCCGGAAAAAAGAGCTGTATGATGCAGGAAAAAGCAGCGGTATGATGCCGGAAAAAAGAGCTGTATGATGCAGGAAAAAACCCAGCTGTATGATGCAGGAAAAACGCAGCTGTATGATGCAGGAAAAACGCAGCTGTATGATGCAGGAAACAACCGCTGTAAAACAGCTGTATGATGAAGGAAAAAACAGCTATATGATGCAGGAAAAAGAAGCTGTTTGATGCAGGAGAAAGCAGCTGTATAACGCATGAACCATCAGCTGTATTATGCGGGAAAAAGCAGCTGTATGATGGAGGAGAAAACAGCTGTATGATGCAGGAACAAACAGCTGTATGATGCAGGAATAAACAGCTGTTTGATGCAGGAAAAAACAGTTGTGTGATGCAGGAATAAACAGCTGTTTGATGCAGGAAAAAACAGTTGTGTGATGCAGGAATAAACAGCTGTTTGATCCAGGAATGAACAGCTTTTTGATGCAGGAAAAAAGCAGCTGTATGCTGCAGAAAAAAGCAGCTGTATTATGCAGGAAAAAACAGCTGTATGATGAAGGAACAAACAGCTATATGATGCAGGAAAAAGCAGCTGTTTGATGCAGGAGAAAGCAGCTGTATAACGCATGAACCAGCAGCTGTATTATGCGGGAAAAAACAGCTGTATGATGCAGGAAAAAACAGCTGTATGATGCAGGAATAAACAGCTGTTTGATGCAGGAAAAAACAGTTGTATGATGCAGGAAAAAACAGCTGTATGATGCAGGAAAAAACAGTTGTATGATGCATCATACAGCTGTTTTTTCCTGCATAATACAGCTGCTTTTTTCTGCATCATACAGCTGTGTTTTTTCCTGCATCATACAACTGTCTTTTCCTGCATCAAACAGCTGTTGCAGGAAAAAACAGCTGTATGATGCAGGAAAAAACCCAGCTGTACAATGCAGGAAAAAACACAGCTGTATGATGCAGGAAAAAACAGCTGTATGATGCAGGAAAAAACAGCTGTATGATGCAGGAAAATGCGGCTGTATGATGCAGGAAAAAAACAGCTGTATGATGCAGGAAAAAGCAGCTGGATGATGCAGGAAAAACCAGCTGTATGATGGAGGAAAAAACAGCTGTATGATGGAGGAATAAACAGGTGTATGATGCAGAAAAAGCAGCTGTATGATGCAGGAAAACGCAGCTGTATGATGCCGGAAAGAGCAGCTGTATGATGCAGGAAAAAACAGCTGTATGATGCAGGAAAAAACAGCTGTATGATGAAGGAAAAAACAGCTGTATGATGAAGGAAAAAAAAGCGGTATAATGCAGGTAAAAACAGCTGTATGATGCAGGAATAAACAGCTGTTTGATGCAGGAAAAAACAGTTGTGTGATGCAGGAAAAAGCAGCTGTATGTTGCAGGAACAAACAGCTGTATGATGCAGGAATAAACAGCGGTTTGATGCAGGAAAAAACAGATGAATGATGCAGGAAAAAACAGCTGTATGATGCAGGAAAAAGCAGCTGGATGATGCAGAAAAAAGCAGCTGTATGATGCAGGAAAAAGCAGCTGTATGATGCAGGAACAAACAGCTGTATGATGCAGGAAAAAGCAGCTGTATGATGCAGAAAAAACCAGCTGTATGATGCAGGAAAAAAACAGCTGTATGATGCAGGAAAAAACAGCTGTATGATTCAGGATAAAACAGCTGTATGATGCAGAAAAACAACAGCTGTATGATGCGGGGAAAACAGCTGTATGGTGCTGTGTAGTTTATATTTAACGTACTGTATCTATTATTGAAATTTTAAAGGTACAATTAACCGTGTGTTACGTTCATGTTCCCTAATTTGGGTGATAGCAACGACTGCAGCTAAATTCATACTAAGCATTTATATAGAATTGTACACCTACGAAAACAGATAGCGCTTGACTAATGTATCAAAATATCACTGACATTTATCAAATGCAAAAGAAGCATTTGTTTTATAACCCAGATCTGATATCCTGCAAGTTCTAACCTCTCCTCTGAATCCCTTGCCGTTTATCCGATGTTCAGATCCGGAGCGACTTCCGTTGGCACCAATGTGGAAGTGAAGTTCGGAGAACACGTAGTCGGCACCTTCCTGGCCCGGAACATTCCTCAGTACTTTACCGTACGTACGCACATCTCCGTTATGAGTGGAAAACGCACAAGAATGACCTGTAACAATTGTGGCTTAGGGTTTGAAATGTAGCAATTAACAAGCTATGTAAACCATGATGATACGAGATACTAGAAGTTTTATTTAACGTCGCATATTTCAAACGATAAAACATAAGCACTGTAGTGATATTCTGTTGACAAACATGAAGTATAATAAAAATCACATGCGGGTAATTACAAAGACAAGTTAAATGACAAACTAATTTCACAGAGGCAATTTATCATGTAAAATAAAATACAGGATATACACTTATATAGTGCGATTTAAAAGTTACATTGATGATATTATCATAAATAATTGACACTTCGTGACATTTGCACTTTTCTCACAACTTGTTATCAGGGTATATATAATTATTATCAATCATATACTTTCAGGGAGTAATTTGATATAGCATCGTTTTAACATCATTTTGTGATATTGCGAATTTGAATTCATATAATTAAGGTTTATATTACACCTAAAGTTCTGTTATACATGTACCATTTTGGATTTCTAACTTTTTGGACCCTAGCATCACTGATGTGTCCCAGGAGGAAAACCCAGCTGTATGATGCAGGACACAGCAGCTATATGATGCAGGAATATTGAGCTGTATGATGCAGGAAAACCCAGCTGTATGATGCAGGAAAAAACAGCTGTATGATGCAGCCAAAAACGGCTGTATGATGCAGGAAAAAACAGTTGTATAATGCAGGAAAAAACAACTGTATGATGCAGCAAAAAACCAGCTGTATGATGAAGGAAAAAACAGCTGTATGATGAAGGAAAAAACAGCTGTATGATGCAGGAAAAAACAGCAGTATGATGCAGGAAAAAACAACTGAATGATGCAGGAAATAACAGCTGTATGATGCAGCCAAAAACGGCTGTATGATGCAGGAAAAAACAGCTGTATGATGCAGGAAAAACAGCTGAATGATGCAGGAAAAACAGCTGTATGATGCAGGAAAAAACAGCTGTATGATGCAGGAAAAACAGCTGTATGATGCCGGAAAAAAACAGATTATGATGCAGGTAAAAACAGCTGTATGACGCAGGAAAAAACAGCTGTATGATGCAGGAAAAAACAGTTGTATGATGCAGGAAAAAATAGCTGTATGATGCAGGAAAAAACAGCTGTATGATGAAGGAAAAAAAAGCGGTATAATGCAGGTAAAAACAGCTGTATGATGCAGGAAAACACAGCTGTATGATGCAGGAAAAAACAGTTGTATGATGCAGGAAAAAATAGCTGTATGATGCAAGGAAAAACAGCTGTATGATGAAGGAAAAAACAGCTGTATGATGCAGGAAAAAACAGCTGTATGATGCAGGAAAAAACAGCTGTATGATGCAGGAAAAAACAGCTGTATGATGCAGGAAAAAACAGCTGTATGATGCAGGAAAAAACAGCTGTATGATGCAGGAAAAAACAGCTGTATGATGCAGGAAAAAACAGCTGTATGATGCAGGAAAAAACAGCTGTATGATGCAGGAAAAAACAGCTGTATGATGCAGGAAAAAACAGCTGTATGATGCAGGAAAAAACAGCTGTATGATGCAGGAAAAAACAGCTGTATGATGCAGGAAAAAACAGCTGTATGATGCAGGAAAAAACAGCTGTATGATGCAGGAAAAAACAGCTGTATGATGCAGGAAAAAACAGCTGAATGATGCAGGAAAAAACAGCTGTATGATGCAGGAAAAAACAGCTGTATGATGCAGGTAAAAGCAGCTGTATGATGCAGGAAAAAACAGCTGCATGATGCAGGAAAAACAACTGTATGATGCAGGAAAAAATAGCTGTATGATGCAGGAAAATCAGCTGTATGATGAAGGAAAAAACAGCTGTATGATGCAGGAAAAAACAGCGGATGATGCAGGAAAAAACAGCTGAATGATACAGGAAAACACAGCTTTATGATGCAGGAAAAAAGAGTTGTATAATGCAGGTCAAAAAACCCGCTGTATGATGCAGGAAAAAACAGCTGTATGATGAAGGCAAAAACAGTTGTGTGATGCAGGGAAAAAACAGTTGTTTGATCCAGGAAAAAACAGTTGTATGATGAAGGAAAAAACAGCTGTATGATGCAGGAAAAATCAGTTGTATGATGCAGGAAAAAACAGCAGTATGATGAAGGAAAAAACAGCTGTATGATGCAGGAAAAAACAGCTGTATGATGCAGAAAAAAACCCAGCAGTATGATGCAGGAAAAAACAGCTGTATAATTCAGGAAAAAGCAGCTGTATGATGCAGGAAAAAGCAGCTGTATGATGCAGGTAAAAAGAGTTGTATGATGCAGGTAAAAACAGCAGTATGATGCAGGAAAAAACAGCTGTATGATGCATGAAAAAGCAGCTGTATGATGCAGGAAAAAACAGCTGTATGATTCAGGAAAAAACAGCTGTATGATGAAGGAAAAAAAGCTGTATGATGCAGGAAAAAAAAGCTGTATGATGCAGGAAAAAACAGCTGTATGATGCAGGAAAAAACAGCTGTATGATGCAGGAAAAAACAGCTGTATGATGCAGGAAAAAGCAGCTGTATGATGCAGTAAAAAACAGCTGTATGATGCAGGAAAAAAGAGTTGTATGATGCAGATAAAAACAGCTGTATGATGCAGGAAAAAGCAGCTGTATGATGCAGGAAAATCCGGCTGTATGATGCAGGAACAAACAGCTGTATGATGCAGGAAAAAACAGTTGTATGATGCAGGAAAAAACAGTTGTATGATGCAGGAAAAAACAGATGTATGATGCAGGAAAAAACAGCAGTATGATGCAGGAATTAGCAGCTGTATGATGCAGGAAAACGCAGCTGTATGATGCAGGAAAACACAGCTGTATGATGCAGGAATAAGCAGCTGTATGTTGCAGGAAAAAACCACGGATAATAATTTGTAAACCGCTTTGAGACGACCCACGAACTAGGTTGTGATAAAGCGGTATATAAGAACCTTGAATTATTATTAATTATTATTCATAAAAGCTCCAGAATGTACGTTTTCCAGCAATAATTTATCTATACTATAGCCGTGTCAAGGAAAAGGGGTTCCAATATGTGGTAACATTATTTAGCAGTGGCAGTAGGATAATGCATCACAAAACGCTAATCTTAGACACAAGAATAAGTCGTCCCTACAATTGAACCGGGTAACCGTTTGTTATGATTCCATATGCATAAAATCTTTAGTAAGGCATGGTATTTGACCGAGAAAACGACCGTTAAATCACAGATTTTGGTTTGGTTTGGTTGTGTTTTACGTCCTATTAATTAAGCTATGGACATTTAAGGTCATGCCAGGTTTTGGTGGTAGAGAAAAGCCGGAGTTTCCGGAGAAAAACCATCGACCTACGGCCAGTACCTGGCGACTGCCCCAAGTAGCTAGGCCTCGAACCCGCGACCCAGTGATGGAGGGCTAGCACTAGGCCACCGCGGCCCTTTAAATCACAGACGTGTTGCAAAATGTAATAATATCATCACAGCAATCACAACAGAGCATTGGACACATATCAATATGTACATCTGATGTAAGGTTTACCATTGTTGAGGAAGCTTCCTCTAGCGTATCCATGGTGACGCCTATACCAGACATATATGGGGGATTCCTCCTCTCCTGATTCCATACACTGGACAGAGTTCAGTCTGATGTCGATCGGACTCTGGTGAGGTCCATTACACTCTTTATAACACCTCGACCATTGACCAGGGGCTGTTGGCCGAAACAGATCAGTAAGTACTTATATTTTCTGAGGTATATCCAGTTCGTGTAATTATAAAGTCAATTCTGTATTATATAAATAGGGTTAGATATGACCAACTTAGAATTAATGCAGCATTTTACACTGAATACATTATATCTAAAATAAATCACATTGAAATATTTGAGAATTTAAATATATTTTGATATCAATCAGTTTATTCTTCGTAGAAAGTAGAAAGGAATTGGTACAGGTTATTGCACCTAAAAATAATATTTCAATAACAGATGTGTTCAAATGCAGTCTATTTCAAATCGTAACAGAAATGTTAAAATGTATTTACGTGTCTAAGTTATAACAATTAATATCTAAAGCACGATTTTCATCACGAAACAGTAGTAACACCAACCATAAATTAGCATATTTTAGTAAAGCTTTGAAGCAGTAGCATTGTTCCAGAGGTTTGATACTACTTATACTGAAAAAAGAAGTTATAAACATTTTCACAATGGTCCATATAGCTACAATATTATGGGTTCCATATTCCATTAAAGCTGCTTGCAAAAGTTCGACACATATGAAGGTGTATCTTGCAATAAATAAATCAATGTGAAAATATACCATACATATTTTTGCGGTCTTGAGATTTTCGCTAATTTAGCGTTTACTCAATCAGTAACACTGCACATAGTTTTAACTGTCAATTAGTCCATTTGAGAAATTTCAAGCATTCAAAGAATACATTAAAAGTTTACCTAAACGTGATCGTAGGTCATAACTAAAAACGTGGTGCTCCCTGAACTGTGCACAAGCGGCTGTTCCGAGTCTTGCTGGCCTTCTTGGAGTCGACGAGCTGTTAACACAGGATATCAACATTGGCACGAGGAACCGTAGTGTGGTCAGTATGGTCAGTATGGTCAGTGTGCCCATGGTTAACAGTGGCGATCTCTTTGTGTCAGTATAATGACTACATAGATAAAGATTACAGTCACTTATGTTTTGTGGATCACAAGGACAATTGATTTTGTGCTGTCATGCGCAGACGGTAGTATTAACTGACCGCGCATCAAATGCATATAGTGTGTTCTGATCAACGTTATTAACTTTTTGTGTATGTATTGTAAAGCTTAAATGTATATCCTGAGTAATTTGCATTATCAATGGAAGAGTATAATGTAGTCAGCTGGAATATTTATGTTTATCTATTGATTTTACTCAATGATGATTTGGTGTGTATAGAGACAAAGCAAGCGTTGAAACAGTATTTCTTAATAAACTAACAAAATTACAGTGACAATAATTTGTACTACCTAGCTTTTCAAAACACTCCAAAATTCACTGATGCATTCCTTCAGTAAGTTATAATTAAAAACAATATACTTAAAATAGCTTTCAATTTGTCTCCCTATAAAAACGAATCGCCCAGTCAAAAAAAGTTGTTGGCAAAATGGAAACGAAACAATTACAAACGAAGTTTTGTGGTATAGTTAAATATCTAACATACAAAATAAATATATGTATTGTTCATAAATATTTGCGTTGAAATAAATATTATTTAATTATATAGCGATAGTGAAGATACAAAAAATATATTTCGATAAAACTAGCCTGCTCTAACACAGCGAATAAAAAGTATAATCTTATAGCAAACTGATGACACAAACTACATCGTCAGAAAAAATAATTATCTCATGTAAACTAGCATGGCCCCCAGAAGTAGTAGTTATACTCTTACGTATTATGGCTTGAGGCTGGGTGTAGGAACACGACTTGTCAGTGCCAGACAGCCATAACACAAAAAACTTCGTTTACATAGATTTAGTTTAGTGAAATACGGGGTGTTACATGTGTTATATACATGTAATCCTTACAAAAAACCCATTTACTCATCATAACGCCTCAGGCACACTACAGAAAATGATACCAGCAAAATATGTCGTCATTATAGATGAATTATCAATGTGATGAATATACATCGCATTTTATAGTAAGTAATACAAAATTTAAAGTAATGTATATAAATTTCATCGGAACTGGATATATGAAAAAATCAACATTTACAAATATACAACAAAACATTATAAACATACTTATATTAGTGCAATCAAGTTTTGGTACAAAGTATCGTACACGCATTATTTGCAAAATCAAAATTGCATCAACGCATCAGAGAAATTAAGTCTTCTGTGGTTGTCTCAAAATGACTGAAAGACGCTAAGCCAATGTGCGTTCATTGCCGCAGCACTGGTACTATCCAAGCGTAATTAAATGAATGAATATTTATTAGTGTCACACATTCTTTTTACCATACTTCAATACCATTAATTAAAAGAAATGGATGGTCGGCTGACGCAGTGGATAGCGCACTTGCCTTTCCACCAAGGCGGTCGGGGTTCGATTCCCCTATCGGATGTTCCCGACTACGTGGGTTTTATCCGGGTACTCCGGTTTCCTCCCACAGTAAGATCACTCGCGCGCTAACATTCGGACCATCAAAAGTAATTAGTATAAGTTGTAAAAATAATATTAAATGATTTTGTATAAATGTAAGCTTTGGTTACATTGATAATTATTCCAAATGTATTTTAGACTGAACAGGTAATACATGTAATTTGCTTCTTACTAGAAGCACATAGAGTTATAGCGAAATAAGAATTTACCCGTTAGAAAGCTAAGCAAAACTCTTTTTTTTAGAAAAAAATTATGGAAGTTTTGCGGTATTTTAAGAAATATTTTAAAATGATGTAAAATTATTGACATGAAACTATGTATATGTTGTATACGATCGCTCTTACGTTCGGGATTTCAGTATCACCACATATTTGACATTATTGGCCGTATTGACAGCATTTCTATTAAAATCACTTGACTATCGTAAGGCAATTTACCATTGTGAAGTCATCATGAGAATTATGGACAGGACGTCACGACATTGTGACGTAGCAGTGAAGGTGATACATGTGGCATTGAGGGTTTGATGATGGTCAGAGAAACCACGGAATTAGATTAGATGCTATCTAAGTCCGTGGAGAAACAGTTTTTTTTCTCTCGCAAATAATTGTATATAATATTATAACAAAGAATGTTTGATTCGTTTCCGCTTCCTATAGAATTTATGATACTCGTCCCTAAGTTGGCAGAGACTGGCTAAAAATGAAAACGTGTAAGACTTATTTGACGAGTGCCATATAAATGTTCGAATTCATTTATAATTACGTATTCTATCGTATTTGTACAATTCATGTACGATGATGGTTTCCATTTATCATTAGTTATTATAGTGACACGATGATTGGTATTTTGTTACCGGCGTACATCAGTTAAACAATTCAACGGATAACTAGATTTCAGCATTTACATATCTTTATAACACGGAGACACGGCCGGTAGTCTAGTGGTAGGAAGCCGGGCTCGTGACCGAAGGGTTGCGGGTTCGAGTCACGCCACGGCACTGTGTTGTATCCTTGAGCAAGATACTTTACTCCGCTTGAGTACGTTGTTGGGCAGTGCTAGAATTGTTGAATGCTAGTTGTGAGCGCCGAAATGGCAGCACTGGCTGTATGCTCCTCAGGGAGTTGAGAAATATATTGGCTGTTTGCAAAGGCCCTATAACTACGGATACCAATCTGTGAACCGCTTTGAGATGACCTACTAACTAGGTTGTGATAAAGCGGTATATGAGAAATTCAGTCAGCCATGCCAGAACATTATCGTAAATGTTCTTTCGTTTCATTGTAGTAAGACAGTCGTTCACGCGCAGCTTTTTGTGTGTATAGCGTAACGGTCAGTCAGAATGCAGTGGCTCGTGTAGTATGACAGTTATCGTAATATTGTTTTGTATAGCGTAACGGTCACTCAGAATGCAGTGGTTCGTAGTGTAACAAAATGCCATGACATTTACTGCTAATGGCAATTTTATGTAATTAATATTTACACAAAGCGCATATGTTATTTACTTTATTACATTACTCCGTTATTTGTTGGGGTTTATTGTTAGGCCTATCTATGTTTGCTCGAGGCTCAGCCATACTGTATACTGTTGCTTATTATTTTACCACCTAGTTTTCCTTGCGTTTATAACGAATCTGGACTTATATAGTATAAAAGTAGAAAAATGATCCTTACGGACTAAGAAATAACATTAAAAGAAAAAATCTCAACAACGAGTCTTAAGTACTTTCATCTCTTCCAGGAGATTTTTTCAGACTTCAAATAAACAGTCTGACGAATCTCCTTGACGTGTTAGAAGTTCTCGTTGTTGAGATTTTTTCTTTTGATATTTTATACATATATATATTCCGTCTTTGCGTATTGCAGAGTTATCTTCTCTTGGGAGCAGGTATTGATTGTTACGTCATTGGTTTGTGTGAGAAAATCACGTCGTTTTCTCAAAAATTGATGACGTTACTCTCTTAAACAAGTGACATAACAATCAATACCTGTTATCAAGAGAAGATAACTCTGCAATATGCAAAGACGGAATATATCACTTTCATTATCTACATATGTACACGTATTTGACTTTTCAATATGCAGAAACACGAACTGTCCTTGCTAAATATAATATACATGTATTTTAACGGCATAAATATAACCTATCAATGAAGTTAAACTTATATCTATATGTATTAAGTGTACCTACATACAGATTTCTCGATATTTTGGGGAGGGAATCAACCGGTCTAATTCTGTTCAAATCTTTGGCTAAACAAAGATAATACATTTTTTTTTATTGTTCATGGTATTTTTACATAACCACTTCCCACCCCACCCTCTACCCCAACCCGGCAACGAAATTATGGGGTTTACTGGAATCATCGGTCGTAACCGTCTGTCAGTCTAGGAATATTTTACATACCTGCAGTGAAAACAGTCTGACGGAATTAAGTTATCTTGTGTTTAATCAGCTTGATATTTAGCCATATTGTCAAGAATCTATTATCTAATGGAATTATCTATACCTGCCTCTATTGCTTCAGCCAATACTGTGGATGAATTTCTATCGGTCCTCCCAGTAGTTAGCACTCTCAAAACCTTGCTGTAAACTCTATCTGTACGTACACGCGTATACATGTACATGTTTAATTCATGACATTTAAAAAAGAAGTCCTGTTACACCATTTTAACCAACGTGTGACATTATAACTTCAAGTTTGAAAACTTCTCATGATCGAGAAGAAGAAGAAGATCTGATGGTAAATTTTCAGAAAACAGTCCGTCCCACCCCAACCCCCGTGCATTTACAAATATCAACCCATAATATAAAAATATATTAAAATATCTGCTATTTCAAAATTTGTACATTTTTTTTACATTCCTTTAATGCAGATTAAATTGTAACATTTGAATTCTTCCGCAGACATTTTGTCACATACTTATTTTAAATCACGTTATAAGTAGTTTTGTGAAATTCAAATAATTTTCGTTTAAATTCCTCCAGATACATGGGTACTATCACGGACTTAGATAACAAATTTCCGTGGTACTATACATAGAGTATAATACTTACTCTACTACAACATATACATCTAGAGGGTCATGCAGTCATGAGTTTACTAAAAACCTGTACTAAGACGCTGGGCATGTGATTGTGAGGCATGATCATACATGTACCCTCTTCTCAAGTTGCTGTTAGTCCTAGTGCGCATGCACTAAATTTTCTGTTATGAAACGTTTAGGCCACGCCCCCTTTTTATTTGACTAAGGGTTATTTCCGGTATGAATATTGCAAATAAAAAGTTCTTTTTGACTATAACAGTGCTAAACTTTGGATAACAAATATTTTATTATGATAATGAATACATCTTAAAGTCGAAACATGGTGAATATTATGTTTAAATTGATTATTTTGTAGATATTTAAGCGATGTTATTGTTCAGAGCCTAAGCGACAAATGACAGGAAATTGTAAACAAGTCGCTGTCACGCTGAAGAGCACGTGCACACTTGATAAAGGGGTTATATAACTTTATAATATTGAATGTGTTATCTGTAAGTAACGAGGTTTGTCCGCACGAAAAATCACAGAGGATTGCAGTATTTCAGAAGACTGACTGATGTAAGTAAATACTGGATGTTTGTTGGTAAAAATGCAAATGTTAGAAAGCTGTTGGGAGTTGATCTAGTCCGCTAAAACTGGGTCAACATACACGTATGTCACAGTTACCTTCATATGGTTTGTAAATTTGTAAAAATATAAAATGGTTTACCCTACTGTATTGAAGACTATTGTATATTTTCCAGTATTTTACTAATCAACTAATCTGTAGCGGAACTGCACTGGGTTAATTTGATCGTCGGCGACCAGATAGCTCAATTGATGGAGCGTCCGTCTAAAGTTAGGAGGGTCCCGGGTTCGAACCCTAGTCTGGCCGTGCATTTTTCCTCTCCTGTTGCAGTGGTACCTGTGACCAACCCTTCTTTCAAGCATTTGGTGTATGCTTGACACAGGATATCTGAACCTGGGTTGTAAAAAGTTGTGTCTTCGGGGTCGAAGACTTTGTTAAAGGAGGGAGGAATGTAGTGGAACTGGACTGGGTCGATCGTCTGCGACCAGATAGCTCAATTGGTAGAGTGTCCATCTAGAGTTCGGAGGGTCCAGGGTTCGAACCCCAGTCTGGCCTTTCATTTTTCCTCTCCTGTTACAAATCAATCTAAAGGGCAATACGATCCGTCTATGATCCCTCTACATCCAAGTCAGTAACAATTGACTACCAGACAGTTCACCACTGTCACTGTGAAACAAAATACAGTATTTGACTGCCATGCACGGTATATACTACGTATATACTGACTGTCGGTAAATGTAGTGCAATTGACGTTGGCATGGTATCATAGACCTGAACAAAATATACTTGTATCATATTATTTCAGTCAATTATAATTACTAGCCTAAGTTTCTCTGGCCCTGACACTAGACTTAGACATTTTGACAGATAGATGTCTGTTGTGACATCTATCTGTCAAAATATCTAAGTCTAGTGTCAGGGCCAGAGGAAACTTGGGCTAATACATATATTACCTACAATTGTATAGAAGTTAACAGACATGTAACTGGAATGAAGTATACATTGTAATGATTATCTGCTGATATCTCTGCTGAAAACAGTTAAGTCTTTTGTATTTTAATACAGTGTTGCTTGAATTAAAAAACTGATATATATGTGAAACAACTCTTTTCCTTTTTTTTCAGAGAAACCATCAATCATCAACATGGTTCTAGTGTTTGATGCCGATGAAAACAACTTGGCAATTTGTGCCATAGTTACAATTGCTATGCAGTTCACCTTTTTTCTGGTGGCGTGTAGCTGTAAATTTGACAAAGTTACAGACTTTGCTGGGGGTACAAACTTCGTTGTTTTAGCCTTACTCACCTTTTTATTAGCACAGGTAAGTTTTGGGAAAAAAATTAAAAATATCATTGAGTAAAACCATAAAGTTGAAATAAGATAAGAAACATGCAATGTTAGTTTGATTAAAGCAGAGCGGTGTCACTCTGTATTATATAGATCTACCACCTTGTATTGGCCCTTTAAAGACCTCCTCTGTGTTGATAGGCCGTTAAGAACTCAATAAATAAACTCTCTATTGTATATCTTCCAACATAAATGAGTTCTAATTTGTTGGCAATTTTTATTTGTTTGCACACACAATGTAACTCGGCATATTAAATGTCCTAACTTGTGGAAAAAGGCTTGTACATTATCATTTATGGTTTTTTTTATAAGAGGCAACATTAGTTTAACAGGAAGATAATTTCCTCCAGGCCTAAATATATAATATAGAAGAAAGTAGTGGGACTCTATGTCTTATAAAAATTAGTTTATGGAATCATCATATTCTTTTAAGTTCATTCAAGACTGAGTAAGCTCAGTGAAATCCTCTATAATGTATATCCTACAACGCTCTTGAGTTGTGTCTCACCATTAAAACTGAATAAATACAATTGAAATGTGAATTAAAGTCCTTCTTTTCCGACTTCAGACATACAATTGGAGACAGATATGTGTGACTGTATTTGTGTGTGCCTGGGGGATAAGGCTGTCCGGATACCTTCTGTACAGAATCATCAAAATTGGAGAAGACAAAAGATTTGATGACAAACGAGAAAATTGTCTAGCTTTTGCAGGTTTCTGGATATTTCAGGTATGAAGCAAGTGTGATGACTAATGTTAAATTGTTTTAAGTGTCTCATAAGTCAGTTATGGCTGGGTGTTAATATGGTTTTACCTGATTGTGTAAAATGTATCTGTTTTATGTATATGTAATTAACATGTGACACTATAATAAAATATTTTATTGATTGATTGAGTAAATTTATGGCCAATCACTTGTTTCAGACGAGTCTTCAAAGATTGATTAAATCAGGTTTTGTTTAAATTCACTGGTAGCTTCTTTGTTAAAACTCGTTTATAACTGAGTTCATGATGAGCACCTTATATAATTAATTAACCCTAGTAAATTTGCTTTTCCTGTCAGCTTGCGAGACCCAACAAAATATCATGAAACAAATTCACAAGAACGCTGTTTGACTATCAATAGCACTGTTCCAGCCAGCTTTGGTAAAAACCTCAGAAAGCAGCCTTCCCCTCAGTCTAATATAAGAGTTGATTATGCTACTGGTTAAGCAACTGGAAACTTAATGTAATTACAGTACATTTCACATAATATCACGTTGCTTAATATCACTTTTCAGTTATTGTTATGTTTTCTTCATGCACCATTTTTCCTGCTATATAATCTATGGAATGCGATTCTTTTATTTAATAATATCACTTGTTTTTATGTCAATTTCACTTAGTATCACTTTATTTTGGCCACTGCCACAAAGCAAATCATAGGTAAATGATAATAAGAATCAATGATTTATGCCCCAGGGATCTTGTGTCACAACTGGATGCGCTATGTAAACAATGTCACGACCTAACGGTGCCTTTTTCACACATAACTGACTGCCGAAAAATAGATCGACCCCATTTACCTGTATGGTCAGAATAACATGTTTCCTCATAATGTCACGTTCCGGTTAATATCATGTTTTCCTCTGACAAATGCGAAGTGATATTAAGCAAAATCTACTGTATTCCATTATAAAATGATCAACTCATAAAGAAGGCATAATGCATGTCTCCCATCTGCATTCAACCCCCTGCAGAAAAATGGGATTTGCATTTGTGTCTGGGGATATACAGAACAGCAATCAAAATATATCTGCTGCACCCATTGCAATATTTAAAGTCTTCGTATTTCGCTTTACATCTATAAACTGCCTTGGTTACCTAGTGTATAATACCTGACACTACCTCACTTTTGGCTTTAATGTTGAAAACTCGCCCAGGGGAGGAAGGCAATGGGTTCTGTCCCCATACCCGGGTAAACCAAAGTCTTTAAAAATGGCAATTGTTATTCATGTTAAAAGCAATTAGAAAAATGGCAATAATTGTTTCACCCATTGTGAGGGGGCTGAAAACCGTACCGGGTGCCTTCAGCATGGTATTACAGTGAGGTAGCACTATAAAGTCAGCATTAGATCCACACTTTCGTAAGGAGGTTATCACACTCACATACCTGACCACCAGCGCACAAACATGCATGCCTACATTACACCCATGGAGGCACATCCAAAATTACATTACTCTTTATAGGTCATTAAACTCCATAAAACCAACCAACAACCCCTTCGTATTAACACTGGTTTCGTAACAACATCCTGCGTAGGCATTAACTATCATTTTTTTATTTTTTTTGTAGGCAGTTTGGGTGTTCACTGTCAGCTTGCCAGTCATTTTTGTAAATGCTCCGTCCAGTTCAGTCAAGTTGAACCCTGATAATGACTGGACACCTCAGGATATAGTTGGTGCATTTTTTTTCGTTGTTGGTCTACTATCAGAGACAATTGGTGACATTGAGAAATTTAACTTCAGAAATAATCCAGCTAATAAAGGAAAATGGTGTGATGTTGGTGAGTATGTTAGGATTTTATTTGGTATATTTAACAATTATGGACTTAAGTTGAGGTGAACTCTGTTGTTATATGGACATGAGAAAAATATTTTAACCGTGATAAAGTTGGGGGTAAATAATACTTAATCGTGGAAACTTAAGTAATTTACTGTTTTATCAAATATGAAATTATGCTGATTGTTATCATCAAAGAAAGTGGAAAAATTAAATTGTCAAGAGAAAAGTACTGCATTTGGCAAGAAAGCACAATAAAAGAGTCGTCATAAAGCATTATCAATCTGTTGTTTCTAAAAAAAGTTAAGTAACATCAAGTTAATATACTGAAACAGTGTCTCACACATGACCATCCATGTATCTTGGCCAATCAGAATTCTGAAAATGCAGATTTAATTAATATTTTATGATGTGCTAGAAACTTTATGTTTTGCTCTTCTTATAAAGGAATTTATTTCACCATGCACTAACAAAATTAACGTACATACAAAGATAACTTGTATATTTTATTTAAGGTACATAAAATGACCTAAGCATTTTTTTGGAGGAATGCCAGGGTTGAGGTGCCTAGTTTTAGAAACATTTAAGTAAAAATGTTTTAAGAGTTGAACTTACATAAAAACGAATATGATATTTTCAGGGAGATAACTCTACATGTTTGAATTGACAGGTCTATGGATTGTTAGCTGACATCCTAACTATTTCAGGGAGATAACTCTACGTTTGAATTGACAGGTCTATGGAGTGTTAGCCGACATCCTAACTATTTCGGAGAGATTACATTGTGGTTAGGGATCTTCATTATCAGTACCAGTATCCTGTGGGATGGACAGTGGTCAGCCGTCCTAAGTCCACTTTTCACCATGGCAATCCTATTGTTCCTCAGTGGTATCCCTCTTCTCGAGAAAAAGGCAGATGAACGTTTCAGACAGTAAGATTTATTGATATTAGACCAAACATTCAATAAAGATGTGTTTGTGTTTATCTTCTTTAGTTTTCAAGTTTTCTTGTTCAGGTTCTTAGTAAGATTTCAATACATGGTCCTGATATTTTAATCATTTTTCAGTTGTTACACATGTTTATCTAATACACATTTGCTGCATATCCTTATCAAAAAGCATGGTAATGAATATTTATCAGTTGATGAAAAAACTTTTTCGATACAAATGTTTTACACATAAGGTTTATTAGTTATATATGCATTTTACAGGGATGAAGGCTATTTGATATTCAAGAACAGGACAAGTCCCCTTATCCCTCTCCCCACGGGCTGTTATGGAGCCCTCCCAAGGGCTTTGAAGTGTCTGTGCTGCTGTGAGTTTCCTCTGTATGATCACCTTAGCGATGAAGCAGAGCAGATTGTCATTAAGACAGAAATACCGGACAGTGTCACCAAGGAGTGAAGACATTGAGGGCATCTTTAAGTACAGGGCATGGAAGATAGGTGTATCATTTAGCTATGTAATGTTTAAAATTTGTATTTCTGATTGATTTTTCAACAAATTCATTGACATTGTGTATACATTCCAACCTTGTGATACTACCACCTTTTTTCTTGCCCAAATTTGGTGTTTGGCGATATATTAAAGGAAATGTAATGAACAAAATGAGAAAAAGCGTTTATAAAGGTTGATGATAAGTGTACGTCCGAGATGGAAGATATCAAATTTAAAGTTTAAAAAAAATCTTAAAGAGTACGTTAACGATAAAACCCCACTCAGGCTCAAATATCAAGTATGATTTTACAGGATGTGCTTGGTAGATTCTTGGATGGAGGTTCATGCATGATCAATTCTGTATATCTATCGGAAATTCTTTACTGCGATACTGCTGGTTAGGACATGTTCTACCTCATCCGCAGACCAGAAGATTTTTTTTTTCCTGTCCATAGTTTCACTGTATTTTGTTGATGGAAGATCATTTTAATTTTGTAAGCTAAAGTAAAGCATATTCTGGATGTATGTCATGGATTGAATCACATTTTTTCCAGTAACATGTATTTGAAAACTCATCAGAACATATTTGAAAACGTTGTGTGTATGGTGTAAGGTATAATGGAAGTTAGTCATAGAGCTGCAGTGTTGTTCGGTGCTGCAACTGGCTGAATATTTTTGTTTAGTGGTAATTTGTTGAGTAGATTGCCTAACTCAGATGTTTTTTCATTCAGCTTGTATAAATTGGTAATGACACAGAAGTATTTGTATAAACAATTCTTTAAAAATGTCATTTGTATTGAAAGAGATTTTGATGTATTTGTTTGTTACTATGGTTTAATATGACCAAAATATAGAACAAATCAAGGAGTATGTTTTCAGTATAATATATACATGTACCTTCATAAGGATGATTTGTTTTCAATTTTTCACAAAGGCATTAAGTTAACATCAGCATCACCTGGATATTTTGTTGCATACTGTTGTAGGTCATTATTGTGTTTTCATGGTCTTCTTAACATAAATTCAGTAGGCATAAATAATATGGGTGAACATTGACCAGCAGTAACAAAAGAAATTCTCATATGTACATGTATGAATCCACGATATGTAAAAGTATTTTAAGTAGACTGAGATTGTGTTATACAGGTTACATTTGACCTAGGCTACACTTAATGCTAAACATAAGTTCATTGTCACCCAAGAAAGAATTTGGATGCATCTATTCAAAAACCCTTGTAAAGTAAAACTTGTGTTAAGTAGCCACACTTTGATAGAACTATAAAGTGGTGTCTTTCTGCTGCTAAGATAATAATGAAAACACTACAATGTGGACCAACAGTTAAGGACTTACAAAAGAGTAAGTATGGGTGGTCATTTACTGGTAATAGAGGCAGACTTTTAAGAATGTTTGACTGAAATTACTTGTAATGTCTACCTCTTAAAAGTAATAACTCATTATTGTACAATTATGTATAATAGAGTCTATAATTATACACTTAATATACTTACCAAATTGATTGCCAAAATTATCAAATTGCCAAAAATGTCAGATTGAATTAGACCCAAGGAAATCAGTGGAAATCCTTTTGAAGGAAAAAAAGAGCATAGAATAAAGTTGTCAAACTCCACCTGTTAAGTTTCTATTTTCAGTTGTCGTACCATTTTATAATAATTGATCTGGTGGCATGTATGTTTGTAGTCAATATCACACAAGTGAATGAAGTATGGTTGGGCATATATATTTGTAGAAAAGGTATCTTTGAACAAAGAAGGTTCATTTAGTAGCAATTTTTGATAACATGACATGCATTTAAAATTCAGTGCATTTTCAATTAAATGGCATCATATTTTGAAAATAGAAAATTTCTTTTTGATTAAATAAAATCATTCAATAAAGAATCATCATATGGAATACACTTATACACAAGTACTTCAATATGTGCTATTATCGGTGTATGTTTTCAAGATTACATGTTTTGTATTTTGTTCAATGGGAGAAAATGAAAACTTTTATATTATGTTATACTCTGTATTTGAATTGTTTTGTCCAGTAAATATTTTCCCGTCACTATTGAATTCCATATTGACCGCATGTTAGGTGTGCCCTTACCATAGAATTTACATGTAGAGTATATTATGTGCTAAATTTGTCATGATAAATTTACATATTTTTTACATTTATATGTCTCTTATTAAGCGCCTGTACTCAGTTGTATACACTGGTATATATATTTAATTAGGGTGTACTGTGTAAGTGTTTATATAACTATTGTCTACAACTCTACTGTGGAGGCTCTCTCCAGAGCGTCATTTCTGTAGTTTGGTTACTTCTACTTATCCTATCGTTTGATGTATAGTTACCTACTATACATACTCGTAACTGTTACATCACCTGCTGTGAATTCATGTACAGCGGTACATTGTCTAAGCCACATAGAAATTGTTTAACAAACCTTGATTTATAGCATAGGTTATGCAGCGTGAATGAAACACATTCTACCTCCAATAGATAGACTGGATAACCATTGGTGTCCCATGTCATTTTTTTGCAGAGTGCATACTGTTTTGTATACAGTACTTCATATGTATATGCATTTTCTGATCAAAGAGGAAATCTTGGAATAAGTGTCAATATATTCAACAGGAAGCCATTAAAAACCTGATCTATTCAAAAGGAAACAATATTGAATATATGTTTTAGTCAGGAAGACATCATTGATATTAATGAGGAAAACCATTGAATATGTATCATATTCCATTATATTCAAAAAGAAACCATTGAATATATCCAAGTGGAAACCTTGGAACTAGTGTCCTGTTCAACAGGAAGGCAGTGCAAGCATGTTTTATTCGAAAGGAAACAAGTAAATATATGTTATATTCAGGAGGACATCATTGATTAAATATGTTATATTAATGGAGAAAACCATTGAATATGTATTCTATTCCATTATATTCAAAAGGAAACCATTGAATATCCTCTATCATTCTTAGTGCCATAATGAACACCATGTGCTAAAAGTAACAAACCCTTATCAGGATAGAAAGTAATGTGTTTGCTTTAGGAAAATTTCGTTTTACATTTGAATTTCATTAAGTGTTAAACTATAATATTACCATTGTCACTGTTGTGAAGTAAATCTTAAGCCTTTCCTTAACTGTTCATATGATGAGATGCATTTTACAGATTTTTCCCCCCGACATTTGACGAAAAATAGATTAAAAAATAAGTTACAAAAACAGCAGGGGTCGAATTTGGGATCTTTACATCACAAGGTTTTTGCTTTATCAATGTTATCATCTAGGAATTTTAATTGAATAGCATCAAAATGAGTTCAAGTCATAGGCAAATTTTATAAAAATCTTGACAGGGGAGGTTACTCTAATCCTTTAGGTTTACTTCATCTTATATAAGAAGGGAGACTTCAATTAAAAAACTCCAAGTGGAACTCTTTTTCGCGACTTTAACTAAATGAAGTGGTAACCTTTACCTTGAATTAGTAATAAACATAAATTTGCAACAAGTAGACTGACCTGTTGTATATATTAGGCCATTTCTTGCCTTTTTATACAGATTAAAATGATTATATATATCCTTTGTCTTCCTAGCTTGCAAACCTTGAATTTTTTAGGTTCATGGAGAAGACTGCTACAGCAAAAATCAAAAGCTCAAAAGTGAAATTGACTCCTTCCTTAAGTATGCTTTGGTATTCTACACATACAATATTCTCATGAAATAGGGAACTATATATATTAAATGACGTATGATAATATTTAAAAGTTTTATAAAGTGTTTTCACTTCGAATTTCATTTTTCCAAACACCTTTCTGTATTCCATTTTTACCCTAAGTGAACTCGGCTTACTTCCACTTTTGGTCTTGATCGATGGGAAAACATCTTGAGCGATTTTTAGAAAGTTACAAACATAAACTAGAAAGCAACATACATACATACATGTATATCAACAAGTGAAATGTAATTCTAGCTATAGATGTTTCTCAATAATGAAGGGCTGAAACAAAATTGCATTGTAAGTGTTCATAGGACCATAGACACTGACGGAAATCTGGCATTGGGGAATTCTATTAAGGTACATGTTTTATGTCATGTGATCAAAATGTTATAAAGAATCTCAATTCACATTATATCATTTACAATTCAAGAAACTGAAGGAAATATTTGAAATATGTGTTGTAATTACTATATATTAGTTCATTATTTAATTTCATTAACCTGTTACAATTTAAATTGTATACCTGTTTTTATTGCAATTAACTGTAAAAATCGATTACCTGTTACAGTTTAAATTAACTGCTGCCATTTCATTTACTTGTTTCACTTTCAATTACCAGTAACTATCTCGATTACATGTTACAATTTCGATTGCTTGGTACGATTTCAATTATTTGTTGCAATTTCAGTTACCTCCTGCAACTTAGTAACTTGATATAATTTAAATTACTTGTTGCCGTTTCATGTTTGGTTTCAATTTCAGCTACATGTACCAGTTACAGTTTCGATAACATTGTACCAAACACAATTTTAATTACCTGCTATTATTTCAACTACACCCGTTTCAATCTAAATTACTTGTTGTATTTAAGAATGTGTGAAGCAGTCGGTGTTGCAGTTATACGTCTTGTTTGCCATGGTTACCATTTCTGTAAGAGGACTAATATAATGCGGAAATCATACGGGAATTTACATCAAAGTATGAATTTTACATCACGTTACGAGCTATCCCTATTATTCCTACAGTTTGACAACAGTCCCGGACAGTTTCCTATTGGTAACCATTCCGGTTTCTTGGTTCATTATAACATTTTGAGGTTGTGGGATTATCTACGGGTAATACAACAAAAATGTACACAATTTCCATTACTTATTGTATGATTTATTTTCTACTTTTTAAAAATCTTAATTTGACCTATGTACATTATTTATTTAGGTAATCAAATATTCGTAAGTTCATTTATCAATTTGAATAAAGTTTAGTTAAGATTAAAGTTAGGTTTTCCTTTTGTCTTTTGAATATATACAAAATATTGAAAAAATAGAATACCGAAGTGTCAGCTAAACCATAATTCGAGCACAATATCGGTAAAACTATGACACAATATGAACAAGGGACGAATTTATTGGAGACCCGTGAAAAAGTACAAGGAGATCAAGACCAGCGCCCGTAGTCATGACACACTCATGCTTAAGCATGGATTTTGTTCTCAAACCCAATTTCTTGTTCCGGTTATAGATAAATAAAAAACAAAATATTATTTTATCAATGCTTTGGAAACAAATTGAAGATACTTAATGCAGAAAGCTGTTTTCAATGTTTACATTTTACCTTTTGTTCGTTTTACATTATTTAAGTTAGTTGCAAGAAAGTTGCTTTGAGCACAGAACCCATGCTTGAACATGGGAACGGTTTAATGAATATTGATTCGCCCAGGAGTGTCGGAGGGGTAAAACGTCTTCTGTTCACCGACAACACGTGTCATGTAGATCTAACAAGTATGTGGTTTCCACTGTGAAAGGAAGGGACATTACTACGCATACTTAACATCTACTTACAAATGTACATAGTGTACCTACCCGTTCCTATAAAAGTTATTGCAGCTTTTACCGGGAATGAAATTTCTGGAGAGCAACATGGGTTAACTATTCATGTGGGATCGACAGTGGAAAGGTGACGGATTTGTCAGTCCCAGATATTACTTCAGTTTAGCAATTCTAATGGTTGGTCGTGGAGCGTATTTTCATGCGTTTCAGTTTTATTATGAGTATGGACATTTATTGGATGAAACTGCATGAACAAGTAATTTTCTCATTTTCTAGCTGAATCCCAGTTATGCTCGTTTTATGTGTTGTTATGGTTATTTGTGGAAGAATAGAATGATGTCGCCGTCGAATAGCCTAAGTGTACTGTGTTAAATGTATTTTGGAAGTTGTTTAGGATAATCTGGAAGGGGGCTGGGTTCAAAAAGGAACTTCGAAACACTTCAGACGCTACATGTATTTTGCTTGAGTATCTACTTTCAAGTATAACTCTTTTGGTGATATGATCAAGTATGTTCCCGGTCTTTCGATTGGTAAACTGTAACCATTTGTGTGGGACTTTCTCAAAAGCTTTTGCAAAGTCTTTTAAGATGAAGTCTGTTAGTATGTTATGTTTTTGGTGCGATGTCTTGTTTGAATGCAGAAGATCATGAGGGGTGAACGCTTTGCTGCAGGTTATATAGATATTTTCTGCTTGCGCTATATTGATTATTTTTCAACCTTTTTGCATGAGATGCGTGTGAGTGATATGGATCTGTAGTTTCTTGCGTTGTATTTGTCGCCTTTTTTACGTGCCCACTGGGTTCATGCTCGCGTGTTTTTTCAGTGTTTCGATTATGTGTCTGTGTCGATCGATTTTTAGAATTGACTTTAGTGTTGATGCAGTTCGATTTGAATAATAAATAATAAAGTACAACCAGCTAGCATACAGTATAGAAGTGATAAGTATCCTAATAACTTTTGTTGCTCTCAATAAGTCAATTTTATGTCCAATGCGACACCGAATTCCAACGGATACTCACAGTCGAGGACAAAGAGGAATTACATGTCATTTGTTAAATGTATACTATTTAAGCTCCCGAAAACACCACCAGGCCTTTCCGTGTTTATCTGCGAGAAAATACCGAGGTGTTCCGGATGGTTTTTAGGATATACTACCAAGTCTAAATATAGCGATAACGTCCTATATAATGAGTGGCTCGTCATTACTTCTCTATCGAAAATATATTGATAGTTTCTTGGGACCTTAATGATATTGAACTCGCATATCAGCACTGACAGAGTTTGGTTTTCCCATATCTACATGTATGTGACGTGTTTATTTATTGATGCTTTTCGGATATATACTTATCACCTGTATTACCTAACAAGAGACTAGAGAAACATTGTGTTTTTAATTATATGACGCTGCTATAAGTAATCATGGTTTAAATCATCAACTAGAATCAATATAGTAGTGTAACACTTTTACAAAAGGACTCGACCATGTCAGCTGTAACTAGCATCATGTCAATAATAGTCGTTGCGTGCCTGGTGATTTTAGTTTCATCTGACGAATTGTTTACCTCTAAAGTAGATTCAGAGGCGGACGGAAGGATAAGAGATGTTTACTTCAACAAGGTACGTATGTGTCTAAGATATTGATACCAGGAAATCAATATCACTTTCTTATGTGAATATATATATAGCTTTACTCATTATTGTTTAGCATTAAAAAACTCTTGTGTGTACGGTCGGATTACCTTCAGTATAGTTTCTATAACGACATACACTCTAACAAAGACTTGTGTATTGTAGGTATAGTCTGTCGAACTGATAAAACAATCTACGTACAAATGTCAAAAGATAACTAGACACTTATTACGTTATCTATTTATAGAACAACTGTACAAACACACATACACACACTACTGTGATATAAGATATATTCATGGGGCCAAACTTTCGTGGTTGTGTAGGTACATGGATTCTTGGAATACGAGTACCCACTTAAACGGGAAAAAAGCTTTATATCGAACTATAATTACGATGTAGAGATATGAATTCGAGGATGAAGATTAACAGTGAAGTCAACGAAATTATAAAGCCCAACGAAAATGATTAATTTCGCAGAAATTGTCTTCTATTAGGGAGAATATGTTTGCACGGAACTGTGTTGTATACCATAATTATTCTTTAAAAGATGAAGTTTAATCTTAATATTTACGTTCAAAACAACAAAAACAATACCTATATCGTTATTTTTTCTCATTTGAATCATAGCACATTTTGAATGAACTGTTTATCAAATCAAATAGCGATACTATACAGGAGCACTATATATATTTCAGTTGTATGCGATATTCCCACACGTTCATTGCACTGTCGTGGTCTGATATATTCCATGAAATAACCATACAGTATTGTTAAATTACGTTTAATACACTTACAATATGTGTCAGTTACTTTATAATGTTATTTGCGAATCAAATAATTTTAACTTCATTTATCGTGTGCAACGCGTCATCGGTCACCACAGATACGATTAAATAGAATGGTTTCAAAATTGTTGGTGTTTCTTGATAAGAAATATATAAACGATGCTATGCATTTAATTGAATATGTGGCGACCGATGACTACGGAGCTAAAGATGTTATATCAACATCTGCTACAATGTAAAATATATAAATGTTTTGATTTACCTGTCAAGTAAAATACCTATTTTTCACATTGTAACATTGATAATCAATCCGACTTATATAGTTGATGTATTTGTTACCGTTACTGATACATTTGTTACTGTTACTGTTATATTTGTTACTATTACTGATATATTTGTTACTGTTGTTGATATATAAGTTGCTTTTACTAATCTTTTTGTTACTATTACTGATATATTTGTTACTGTTTCTGATATATTTGTTATCGTTACTGATATATTTGTTATCGTTACTGATATATTTTTTACTGTTACGTTCTGATACATTTGTTACTGTTACTGATACATTTGTTACTGTTACTGATATATTTGTTACTGTTGTTGATATATTAGTTACTGTTACTGATACATTTGTTACTGATACATTTATTACTGTTATTGATACATTTGTTACTGATATATTTGTTACTGTTACTGATATATTTGTTACTGTTACTGATATATTTGTATTTGTTACTGATATATTTGTTACTGTTATTGATACATTTGTTACTGTTACTGATACATTTGTTACTATTATTGATACATTTGTTACTGTTGTTGATATATAAGTTACTGTTTTTGATACATTTGTTACTGTTACTGATATATTTGTTACTGTTATTGATACATTTGTTACTGTTACTGATACATTTGTTACTGTTACTGATATATTTGTTACTGTTACTGATACATTTGTTACTGATATATTCATTACTGTTATTGATACATTTGTTACTGTTACTGATACATTTGTTACTGTTACTGATATATTTGTTACTGTTACTGATATATTTGTTACTGTTGTTGATATATTAGTTACTGTTACTGATATATTTGTTACTGTTATTGATATATTTGTTATCGTTACTGATATATTTGTTACTGTTATTGATATATTTGTTACTGTTACTGATATATTTGTTACTGTTATTGATACATTTGTTACTGTTACTGATATATTTGTTACTGTTACTGATATATTTGTTACTGTTACTGATATATTTGTTACTGTTACTGATATATTTGTTACTGTTACTGATATATTTGTTACTGTTACTGATATATTTGTTACTGTTACTGATATATTTGTTACTGTTACTGATATATTTGTTACTGTTACTGATATATTTGTTACTGTTACTGATATATTTGTTACTGTTACTGATATATTTGTTACTGTTACTGATATATTTGTTACTGTTACTGATATATTTGTTACTGTTACTGATATATTTGTTACTGTTACTGATATATTTGTTACTGTTACTGATATATTTGTTACAGTTACTGATATATTTGTTACTGTTACTGATATATTTGTTACTGTTACTGATATATTTGTTACTGTTACTGATATATTTGTTACTGTTACTGATATATTTGTTACTGTTACTGATATATTTGTTACTGTTACTGATATATTTGTTACTGTTACTGATATATTTGTTACTGTTACTGATATATTTGTTACTGTTACTGATATATTTGTTACTGTTACTGATATATTTGTTACTGTTACTGATATATTTGTTACTGTTACTGATATATTTGTTACTGTTACTGATATATTTGTTACTGTTACTGATATATTTGTTACTGTTACTGATATATTTGTTACTGTTACTGATATATTTGTTACTGTTACTGATATATTTGTTACTGTTACTGATATATTTGTTACTGTTACTGATATATTTGTTACTGTTACTGATATATTTGTTACTGTTATTGATACATTTGTTACTGTTACTGATATATTTGTTATCGTTACTGTTATATTTGTAACTGTTACTGATATATTTGTAATTGATATATTTGTTATCGTTACTGATATATTTGTTACTGTTATTGATACATTTGTTACTGTTACTGATATATTTGTTACTGTTACTGATACATTTGTTACTGTTGTTGATATATTTGTTATCGTTACTGTTATATTTGTAACTGTTACTGATATATTTGGAATTGATATACTTGTTACTGTTACTGATACATTTGTTACTGTTATTGATACATTTGTTACTGTTACTGATACATTTGTTACTGTTGTTGATATATTTGTTACTGTTACTGATATATTTGTTACTGATATACTTGTTACTGTTGTTGATATATTAGTTACTGTTACTGATACATTTGTTACTGTTATTTATACATTTGTTACTGTTACTGATTATTTGTTATCGTTACTGATATATTTGTTACTGTTATTGATACATTTGTTACTGTTATTGATATATTAGTTACTGTTACTGATTATTTGTTATCGTTAATGATATATTTATTACTGTAACTGATATATTTGTTAATGATATACTTGTTACTGTTACTGATACATTTGTTGTTACTGTTATATTTGTAACTGTTACTGATATACTTGTTACCGTTATTGATATATTTGTTATCGTTACTGATATATTTGTTACTGTTATTGATATATTTGTTACTGTTATTGATATATTTTTTACCTGTTACTGATATATTTGTTACTGTTACTAATATATTTGTTACTGTTACTGATATATTTGTTACTGTTACTGATATACTTGTTACCGTTATTGATACATTTGTTACTGTTATTGATACATTTGTTACTGTTGTTGATATATTTGTTTTCGTTACTGTTATATTTGTTACTGTTACTGATATGCATTGTTATTGATATATTAGTTACTGTTACTGATATATTTATTTCTGTTACTGATATATTTGTTACTGTTACTGATATATTTATTACTGTTACTGATATATTTATTACTGTAACTGATATATTTGTTACTGTTACTGATATATTTGTTACTATTACTGATATATTTGTTACTGTTACTAATATATTTGTTACTGATATTTTTGTTACTGTTACTGATACATTTGGTACTGTTACTGATATATTTTTTACTGATATATTTGTTACTAATATATTTGTTACTGTTAATGATATATTTGTTACTGCCTGTATGTTCCAGGATGACCAGTATCAATGCTCAGATCACAAGTTGCCAGTCAACGATTCTTACATTGGTGAGAATAAATATACACATTTTGCATTGAAGTTATTTCTGATTAATGTCGCTCCCGTTAACTGGTATGCCACGTTAAAATAAGATCTTCGCATTGTTCCCGTTTACTGATTTGTATTGGACCGAAGATCAAATTTTAATAAGACATGGCTCTCTAATCTTTCTGCCATTTTCCTGCTATGCTTACTCTCTTCTTTCCTGGCTCACCAACCGTTTAACAAAGTGCCACTCTTTCGCCCCATTTGAGAATGTGTATTCCAGAATCATGTAACTTGATGATTATTAAGTCTCAAAACGAAGTTGTGGTTTTTATCGCTGCGTTTCTTCTGCTTATTAATCTTTCTTATTTTTCTTCTGCCAAACTGGTTTCTCAGAAACCACTTGCTTGATATTTATGAAACTTCACAGAGACATTGGTTGACAAGTGCAGATTCTTTTAGTTACGCGTTTTGTTTTCGATCGTTGCCTCCGATTGACTGAAATATGTGTAGGTGGACGCCAGGGTGAAGCTAACCGACACTCTGTGTGTCTGATTGTGTTCAAACTTAGTATGTTAGTGTATAATGATGGTGCACACTCTTTCGAATCCATCATTTGCAAAAAGAGACAGTTCAGGGTCTTGTGTAATTGTTCTCGTTACAATTAAAACTATTTTTTTTTTATTACTGATTATGTTATTAATTATCTTACAGTTCAGTTTGACTCGCTCTCTAATGTCAACAATGCCTATCATGTCCTTCTCTTGGGATGTTCGGAGCCGTACCACATAGAAAGGGAGGGAGCGTTGTAAGTATTCATATATGTGTGAAGAATAAATACCAGTCTGTGAATGTTGACAGGTTATATAAGAAGTAGTTAGGGAAGTATTGTAGGCTACTTAAACATTCTTTAACCATTGCATTGGCTTTTAAAATTGATTGCATGTTAATTGCTAGGTGTAAATAAAAATGTTTTTACGCCTCAGATATTTATGTCTATGTGCTTCTGATATCCCAGAGCGACCATAATTCATATATTGTAAAGCGCCTCAGAACAATTTTGCGAAATAAAATAGGGCAACCTTCAGCTTTATTGGGCAATGCTGCACTTCTTGCCATATGTGTGAAATGACCACACAATACTGACAAGTCATGCTGTTGCACAGAAAAGCATCCATAATGTTCCTTCTAACTGTAAGACATTTGTATGATGTACATCCTGGTGATAATCGTTCATGTGAATTGTCTACAGGAACTGTCGGAAGGTTTGTCGCAGTGCGGAGAAGATCCAGTTTACCTTGCCTGGGCGTGTTCGAGGTCAGTGTTACACAATAGATATCAAGTAATGTACACTTTCTGTAGACCTTTCAGACATTGTCAGACTATTTGGGAAAGTCATTAGGGATTAAGTAGTTGATTTTTTCTAAGAAATGTAAACTATGTGTTGTCAGGTCTTTAAAGATGAACGTAACACATTCAATAATAATAATGATAATTCGAGGTTCTTATATACCGCTTTATCACAACCTAGTTCGTAGGTCGTCTCAAAGCGGTTCACAAATTATTATCCGTGGTTATAGGGCCTTTCCAGCCGGCCAATACATTTCTCAACTTCATGGGGAGCATACAGCCAGTGCTGCCATTTCGGCGCTAACAGCTAGCATTCAACAATTCAAGCACTGCCCAACCACGTACTCATTTACAGCTGAGTACACTGGAACAAGCGGAGTAAAGTATCTTGTTCAAAGATACAACACATTGCCGTGCCGTTGGGTGAACCCGCAACCCTTCGGTCACAAGCCAGGCGTCCTACCACTGGACTGCCGTGCCTCCTAATGAACGTCATTTTATTTATCTGTCACCCAGAGTGCATTCATATTGGCTGTTACTGCAATCTGACAGACATTCAATCGTTATATTTACATTTCCTCATACGACCTGTGTTTTATTATTTAGTCGGATGAGCTTAATTTATATTTCCTGCTGCCGCAAAAACCTCACTGGTCCAATTCTTTGAGCAGACGGCCATTATCGGACCGAAAACTTCCAAACAACGGTCGCCATTAAAAAATGTATCCAGGCGACAACTGTTTAATTATCTGATTATATGTGCAGAGCATTCTTATTCAAAAGTAAGAGCTCACCTTCCTATCCGGATGTCTTCATTGTCTGCAAAACCTGTTAAATGCAACTTGTATGAACCAAACGACAACAAGATGGCGGCTATCGCATCGATGGGAGTGGTTGCTAACACTGACGTCACGGAAACAATGGTCATGTGACCAGATAATGCAGACTGCAGTTACTCTCCAGTAACTGCAGGCTGACTTTCCATAGAGTTAATGGAAAATGGGAAGGGCACTTCTGATGCACCTTTAAGATTAGGTAAAATTTTAAAGATAAACGTTTGACACATATTTGAAACAGAAGGGGAGGTGCATAAACCGCTTAATTTTATTAACTTCAAAACGTAGAGGAGGACAGGAAAATAAAAGCTTTATAATGAGAAAAAGTGATGACTGTATATCATAATTCACACAGTATCATCCCAACTTTACAACCTATTTTAAACGTTTACATCAGTTAATATAGTATTCCTAATCTACATCAGTTCAACGAGGTCTACATTTCTTATGGTTGCTTTGTCTAAATAAAGGTTATAAAACAAACTTTGACACCTGTGTCACGTGTTCAAATATTGAAAGTAAGCCATATCTTTATCAGTTCAATGTAAAATCTATACATAATGTCCGTCAGCCACCAAGGGAGAGGACTTATAAATTCTTTATGTAGGCAACTTTCTTTTAAGCATTGTACTTTCCGATTGTCAATAAAATTTGTTGAAATGGAATCGTTTACCAGTTATTCATATCGGATTTCCCCTGAGTTACCCGGATTCATTCACCATTAAGATCCCATTCGCGCTGCCATCTGGGCCAACAAGAATGATTAATACAAGCTAATACAACATGTTTGACTTTGGCTGTAAAAAAATAATTTTATAGCAGCATTAAAGAAAGTTGAAACTATCATGCAACTGGTACATACATATCAGCATTATGCTAGTCTGAACACTGCACAATGAACGACAGCAGACGTTGAAATTAGCTATACAATATGTGATAAAATTAGTTCATCCTACACTGTTGTGTGTTACAATACTCAATGGCAGACTTCCGGACACTCACCCACACAACCGGATGTACAGTTTCCTTCATCAAACACTACTGTCTATGTGTATGTAGGCCCCAGTAGACATTCAGGACAACACAGAAACTGACACAACACAACACTACATTGTGATTATATGACATACATAGCCTGTAAAGAGATTTAAGATACATTTGACTCTCAGCAAAAGATACAAAGGTAAGTATCTTAATGTACAAACAACAATAAGAAAGATAAATATATATTAGACTGTCATGCAATAATCACAACGATGTGTCTGTTTAGCAATTGAGAAACTTGATCTAGCTAACTGAAATGATTGTATTGAAATAATTATTAAATAAACTAAGATATATCTATTAAACAAGAGCAATATAATTATTAATAAATACATTATTTTCCACTGCAAACTTTAATAGGTTTAAAATTGACAAGGACGTCATAACAAATATCATATTTTCATAAATTATGTCGATATCTATGATGCAATACATATCAGGTAATACCAGACGTTGTCTACCATATGCAGTCTGAGATCAGCCATGCTTAACTTTGTTGTCAGGGTTCCATTCATAATCTCAGAGGGACTACGAAAGAAACACCTAATATATATATTTCCTGATTTTGAAATTTCATTTTCCAGATTTGATGGAAAGCTCCGATACAAGTGACGCATACTTATAACAACAATAATAATATAATTCATAATGTGTACTCGTAATCTATACCAAAACACTTATATGCTCATTCAATTACCTATTTCCTGTTCTTAAATGTTCATCTTGTATTAAAACTACTTACTTATAAGCTTATGGTGTATATCATATTTTCCCATTGACACTCCTCTGAAACGATGTTTCAGTCATAAAGTAATAAATGTACAACATTATTATGGTATATATATCACCCACTTTAAAATTGTAAACATTCGGGCGTACCTTTTAGTGTTATTGTAATCACCACAGGACCACAGACACAGCGCATAATTTTTATTATGTGTATACGTTTTACACATTACCATGTGTATAAGTTTGGTCGATGGCATGCAATGCACGTATTGCTGTTATCAATTTCTACATGATAATTATGGTGGAGAACATGGCATGCACCATTACAACTACCAGGTTGTTTTGTAATATTGTATCTAGGTGAGTGTGACAACATCCGTCGACATAGCATTCAGAATATTTTTAAGTGGGAGTTATTTTTATTTGTCCTATTTTCTTGTTTTGTTTGTGTAGTTGTCCTTTTATGGTTAGAAGTTGTCATTTGTTTAGACTTTTTTCTTGTGTATATTCTATACTTTATTACATAGTCATTGTCTTTTACTTTTGTTTGTTCAGTCAAAATTGATATTTCACTTAGCAACGGTACTGTAAACGTACCGAGTTTAGTGTATTGCGCTTGAAACACTTCGTCAAACCATGGATGTTCTAAATTGGGTTCTGATGCACCAAATCATCAACGTTTTCATCTGATAAGATTCGATAATTTGCTAAAATTTGGGTGCTGTGAAATAATTAACGTTTACAGTATATCCAGCGTTATAACAAAAATCCATTCTTGATGATACCAGTTCGTGGATTTCTACTGTATTGTACAAGAAAATGCTTTAAACATTGTTGTGTAATTCGTATGTTTAAATAATGTGCTCATTATGTAATTGTATATATTTTTTCAAAATTAATTTTAGGATAAATAACTCAGTTTGAAACGCAATATTATCAACATGCTTTTTGACAGATATTCACACTCGCACGTGATTAATATTAGTGATGCAGTATCACATCATGCGTGCATAATTGCATTAATAAGCGACCCAATTCTTCTTGATTCCAGACGTTTTGTTTTCGAAAAGTTAATTGTTAATGTTTTAATATATGGTGATATCTATGTAAAACTAAAAGCATTTTTGAATATTTAATTTTAAGTTTGAAGTTTCCACATATTCTGTGAGAGACCATAGAGGTTATGTATGTACATTTGTGTAGAGTAAGAACCGATTTCTATTGAGCGCTAGTTTCTCTTTTTGTTGTCGAGTTCCCATTTATTCTTTCTTAAACTATCGGAGTCTCATTGATTCTGCGTTTGTTTTTGGTCTGTTCGTATAGGAACAGCATATGTTGTTTTCTTATTCACTTTAAAATTGTTCATCTCTATGCTACTATTTTCGGGTGATGTTCCGTTTCTTACATTGCATATGTATAACTATTCAAATTATTTTTATGTAAGATTACTATTTTCACAGACCAGGGCAATGTTGTGGACGCTGTAAGCGGCACAGGGTATACACCACAACATGGCACTGAAGATAAGGAGGATTTGACCGAGGTCAGAGAGTTGCTGGTGTACGGGACAGATCCGCACTTACAGATACAAACGGGGTGTGTTACATGTGAGCTATTATATAAAGTATATTTATGCATTTTATTATCTCACTCTACAGAATGGAAAGCACCAAATGCAATATATTATTTTGTAATAATAGCTATACAATTATCCGATTCTATCAATTCTGAAAAAAATTGATTTCGATATGTATGCATTTGAGACGTTATAGTTTGTTTACGTTAGACATATTAAATGTTTTGACAGCTATATCTCGTGTGCATTTCGTATATTTCTTCACATGACGTTACATTATGAACGTACATATACATTATAATATAAATTAGAGTAAATGCCTCCTGCCTTTTTATGGAGGGACACATTGTATGACCCATTTCCGTCCCGTCCTGTCCCATCGCGTGCCGATTCAAAGTCATCGATCTAGTGACCTCATTTTTTAACGGATTTTGATCAAACTTTATACAAAGGTGAAGTATGGGAATATCTCGAATTCATTTGTATTTCAGGGTTCTAACGTTAAGGGAAATGTCACTGTTATTATTTATAAAAATATATCAACCAATTCAGTTACATCATTCTAGCAAGTTCATTTTTAAACAACTTCGATTAAACTTCATGCAAAGCTCGATTGAGACCCTATTTCAGGACCACAATGTCATAACCAAGGCAACCGTTATTATTTATAGATATTAATCAAACATTGGCAGTACTTTGAATGGAAGAGGAGACATTCATGTCTAACAGACATTTCCTAGATTTTCTACTTTAGTCAGCAATACAATTTTCTTTTTGTAGAAATGGTTCAGTAAAAACTACCGATGTATCAGAGACTGCAGAATTGTTAAAAGACCCATCACTTACTGTAGATACAGAGAAAATCAATACAGGTACACACTCAGGTTATTGTTAAAATATTCATAATTGCACGTTTAGCTTCGCTGCAACTTTACATTTTCCCTCTATGATGAAACATTTAACACATAGGGACCACATTTCACTGCTGACAATCATCAGTAATTATGGTAAATGTTTGATTATATATATCTTGATCAAAATGGTAACCCTTTGGAAAAAAACATAGGGTCGGCGGTCAAGGTTAATATTTAGCAAAGGAAAGACATGACAATAAAGTCTGTTCAGTAATTATCCCATTTTATGTGTGTTTACTCAAATATATTAATATAACGACTCTCGGACAAATATAGATCAAAAGTCAAGGTCGTTGTTAACATATTTCTAGTTTCAAAAAGATTTCTGTAAAATACAGCAATAGAGTACGACAGTGACTTATGAAATGAGGTCACTACGTGTAAAGTCAACTCTGTCTTTTTTGAATAAATTATCTTTAACTTTGCAATTCACAATTTGCAGTATTAAGTTTGTTTCCGAATTTTTTTTATACCAAGTTGCTTAAATGTCTTTGAATTTCTTGTTGTAGATGGAACGAAAACGTCTATGAAAGAGTACTGGGATGAACATTCCAAGGATGCATCCATGCAAGAAATGATGCTTGACAACGACGCAGAGGAACTCAGCAAAGATGAGCTGCCCGAGATACTATCATATCTACCCAAATATGATAACTTAGATGTTGTTGAACTTGGAGCAGGCATAGGGTAAATACTTCTGGAAATAACTGCGTTTTTGTCCATTAAGTTCAGTGAACACTGATGACTTTAAAAGATTTACAAAACAACAACAACATAATTTGTCGAGTTGATTAACTCGATGCAATAGTGTATAAACCATACTAATCGTTTTCACAACTCATAGTTAAACGAGATACTAGTAATTTAAGCACCAATATGTATAATAATGTTATAGCTTATATCATTCATGTTTACCATAATTACTTTTCGCTAGTGTTCGTCAAGTACAAGTACAATAATAAAATGATTACGTATAGTTTTTGGACACAGGCCATCCACCATATCTCCCGATAATTACTTGTGTATCTGGTATTGACTGTTTACATAGTTTTTGTCATTTTTCATAGGACTATGGTATATGGCCCCAGATAGTTTTGAGGTCCTTGATTTAATTAATCAACGTATTAAAAGCTAGCAAGATATTTTTTTCTCAAATCTCAAATTGAGATCATATCATTAAATATTAACACATGTTGACCACACCACAGCTTACTGGCGATTTTGTTTACGTTTACAGTCGATTCACGACTCACCTGGCACAGAAGGCGGGGAAGGTACTGGCTGTAGATTTTATGGAGAATTTTATCGAAAAGAATCGGGAAATCAACAAGAATTTGACAAACATAGATTACCTCGCTGCGGATGTGATGGATATGGAATTAAACGCTGACGAATGGGATCTTGTGTTTTCTAATTGGCTCTACATGTATCTTGATAATGACGAACTCACTCACTTCTTACGAAATTCGCTGTCCTGGCTACGGACGGACGGATATATGTTCTGTAGGGAGTCCTGCCTACAACAGTCTGGTACGTTTTATTTAGGATACTACTTTATGCAAATTGAATTGTCATAGATCATTCCTTAATGTTTTACTCTGTTTTGTTTACCATGCGACATGATTGCATGTTTTTGTACAGTCCACGAGCAGTGTTTGGTTTAAAAGATACCGGCACAACTGTAAGAAAATGTAACTATGCATTAGCAACTAATTTTTTTTCGGTATGACTATAGCTTTAATTAATCGTTTCTGAAAAGAAAACTATATCTTGCGGGACTTAAAACAAAATCAACAGTTGTGAGTTGATTTTAACAGATCAGCCTGGCTAGACAAGGGTCCGTATTCATGAAACCGTTCTCATGCTCAAACTCAGATGCTGTGTTCAAGTCCAAATTCTTGTTCTGGTGATTATTTGATAAAAATCCAAATTTTCTAACGATTTGGAAGAACCGCTTTCAATATTTACATTAAACCTTTCGGATGTGTCACATGATGCAAGCGAGTTGCAAGAATGTTGGTTCGAGCACAAAATCCATACTTGAGCATAAGAGCAGTTTCATGAATAAGGACTCAGCATTCGAACCATTGACAACACATTTTGATACTGTCGCTCAAACCTATTAGGCTACCTGGTCAACGGGAGTCTCATGGCCCGATTGCCAGTTAAAGCGTTTTCAAATCCAAAATGGAAACACGCAGTTGAGTTCTCCAGTATTTTTTCTGTAGGGATTCTTAACGCTTTTAGTTTTATTTTCATATAACGAATTTCATGCAGATTGCACTGTGTATTTTTTTAACGTATTCACACTAGCCTGACTACCGAAAAACGTAATTATAAACAACGTTTTCACAACGTAGCCGTATTTACCAAAAATGTTGTCTTAGAGTCATCTCCCCTTGTATTTCCGTAAGTAGGCAGTATTTCTTTATTAAGATTGATATGTTTTGTAAAACGTGTACCGATGTATATGAAAGACTTTTAATTCAATAACAATTCAATATCAATTTCATTTTCATGCGATTTACTCATTTTGAAGATATAGACGGTGCATACCATGAACATATTATGCACATCCTTAATGATAAAATTACCATTTCAAGGCAGCAAAGTGCGAACCATCAACCCTACGTACTACAGAGATCCTCTGGTGTACGAATCTTTGTTCGCTAGTGTGACCATCCCCACGGAAGACGGGCGAGCATTTTACGGCTTTGAAAAGGTCTTTTCTAAATCTGTCGATACGTATATCAAGGTAATTGATAATACTAAGCTACTCCATTGATATGTGAATCTTCGATACTACGATCATATGCATTCTAAGAAAGGAACATTTCGTCTAAATAGATTTGAAGTCGCTTTAAAGAAATCTAATTGGTAATGTATATACTTAAGAAACACAATCGCAATTAAGAAATTCATTCCGCAACAGATATATACGACAGATTATATGGAACATTCCTAATTGCGTTATTTATTTGTCTCAACTATATTGTACATAAATACCGCATTTAAAAAAACACACCTTTACATATCTGATTTCTTGGCAGGTGAAAAACAATGATAATCAACTAGTATGGTTGATACAGAAGGTGAGACGGGAATATGATACCAGTAAGGATTTTGCCATCCTCCCGCAACTCAAGGAACAAAGAAAATTAGAAACTTGTCACATTTTACGCCGAGAGGAGCTGGTCGGAAGAGGATTTGTGAAAACAGGAGGACTTGAAATAGCCAAGGTTTGAACCGATACACATTTTAATCATATTATAACTATATCATAAGAACATATTTGTTTGGTTTTAATTATCAGTTTTGTTCAATAATAAAAGTAGTATCATATGGTATTGTGTTCGAGGTGATGGAAGGTTATACATCTATAACCGTCTTATAAACCATATCTGTCACTATTTATATGTGACACAAAGAGTTAATTCTGACAAAAAATAAATACGGTATTTGTTGTACAATTAGTGTTGCAATCCAATAATGATGTTTGAACGTAATATCGATTCCACTTGTTACAGATGAAAGCAGAAATGCTCAATCTTCAGCCAGGTCAGCGGGTACTAGACTTTAGTTGTGAAACCGGAGGTTTTGGTATATATATCGCAAAGGTGAGGGTTAACGTCAATTTACGCTTAGTCTACTAGGGTGGAATCAATGTTGTTAATATCTTGGCAGGCGCAGCTACCCAAGTAAAGCATAAAGAAATAAAAAGTGACGAACAAAATTAATTAAAATGCAGTCACTCGTAGGTCAGCAAAGGCGTTATATAAGATACTGAAGCTGATTTATATTTCGCTTGTTCTGTTCTTGTTACGGTTGCTCCGACCTATTTAAACTAAATGAATAATAAACACGGAAACTTGCAGGGAATGACATACGTTTGAAACTTCATTGAGATATATATTTCCCATAAATATATTAGTACTTTAAGCATGTTCAGTGTACTTTCCACAGTAATAAAAGACGTATAGCCATGGACACTTTTAGTACCATAACAGAAACAGAGTTTTTGTTTTTGCAATTAGACAATGATACAATAAAGTGTCATCAGTGTAAACACTATATACTGTTTAGTGTATAACACCGAATCAACCTCATTGTTCAGCTTTTCTGGTGAAAAATCTTTTGGTATTTAGAACATTTTTGCTAATTATTATCTCAATTTTGTCCTGAATCAGACGTATGGTGTGGCTGTTGTGGCCAGTGATTCATCGTCGACATTAGTACACATTGGACGGGAAAGAGCAAAGGAGGCTGGCATGGCGCAGGTTAGTATTATACCTGTAAATTCGTGCAGTACCTTTTACTTCGAAATAAGAATACTCATAAACTTTCAAAAGATTTAATATGATGTGAAGCTCATGAAATCACACAATATGTATACATTACGTCACAGACATAAAGTGACGTAATGCATAGGCAATAGGTGGCACGCAGTATTGTAAATAGTACATTGAGCTCTACATATACGTAAACTCTCCTTTTCGGAGAGGAACCGATGGTGTAGTGGTGTAATGGCCGGCAATTATTGACTAAATGTTTAGTGCCGTAAAACATCAGTTGAGTTTGAAATGTGGAAAGGGCAGAACTAAGTACCCTTCCTTTATATTTTGCGTTGGTATTGTGTATTGAGTAAATAAATACATTGTACAATGATGTATGCAATACTTATTTATCCGAGGTTGAAATATGACGCACTTGTCAAAATTTCACTGTGCGAACATTATCAACCTTGTATTTAGCGTATTTGTCAATCTGTTAGTTTCATCGATAGATTGGTTTTGATAATAACTTTGGTGTTTGTGCAATCCACACTCCTTCACGCCGATAACGAAAACTTTATCTACTTTACTTTTAGGATGTACAATTTGAGGTTGCATCCATAACAAGAAGGATACACAACCCGGACACATTTGACGTCATATACAGCCGTGACGTCATCGGAGAAAACAAGAATGTACTGACTGTACTTCGACGATTGTATGTAAGCTGATGTACTGCAGTTATACTTTAAACGGGCGTACATTTAAGCACACCATCGATTTTGAAAAGAGTAGAGCATTGGTAAAATGGCGCACTCACAATGTATATCTATATTCAGAAACTTAAATCAGTGCAATCATAAATCAGTGCCATTTTAAATGTTAAAAGATTTCAAATCAGAATACCGCTAGACTATTTAAGATGACAGTATATTAGATATGATTTCTTATTAACTAGGAATCCATGAAGGCTGGAGGCCGGCTGTTGATGTCGGAATACTGTATAGACGACGATATGGAAGATCTAGACTTAGATAACGATGTGTTTGACGAGGAACTGGACCATAACAGTAACGTGCCGAACAAGGTAATCAGTAAGATACAGTTGCAATTGCAATAATTCGTCTTTCAAACAATGCCACTCGATATTGTTATTAACAGTAACACTGTTTCACGATCATCTTTCACCAGGTGTCATTAATAACTGTGTATGGCTCTATCAAGCTATCTGGCTGTCTGACTTGGCTTTAACAGTATTTTGTCTACACCATAATGTTCTTGTGTTTTGACGTTTACACAGCTTACTGATTACTAACGTGACAAGCATGTATTTTTCTTCCCCTGCTCTACTCTTCGTTTTGATACGATGGCGATTGCAGATATTTGTGTTTCAAATAATGCTACTAGCATTGTTTCATGATCATACACTCGGTCTTCAGTGATTATGACTACCTGATTTGGTTCGAAATCCATGGCCCCATTACGATCCAATTATATGTTTTATATTACAATTTAAGGAACACTGTTCTATTTTGGTGATAGAAGGAATAGCTCCAGTTGCGCACGTATAAATAGACGACCAATCCGTTTGTGGGGTAATCACCTCATAATCTGATCAAAATGGAATATTGTTTTTTATCTTATATTTACAGTGTTTTCCCCGTTATTGCTCCACAATTGTTTTACACATTAGTCTGATAGCGGATACATGTTTTTCATTTTCAAACCAAACGTTCGGGGAAGATTTGCATAACGCCAACCATATGTATTGATGTCGGTGTCATGGAAACATGTCACGTTCTATGGTACCAACTTGAGCCGATAACTGCAGTTAACAGGAACTAAGTAAATGACAATGTATACTGTTAATATAAGTATTTAAAGTGTTTATATGCAAGTACATGTGATTCAGAACAATGCGCTTGAAATGTGAAACGAACAAGGTGCAATTTGACACACGCTGGAAAAGAATGAGTGTCATATATAACTGGCAATTTTGATGTATAATTTAATGCTAATGACAAAAACTTGTACAGGTACTATCGACAGGGGCATTAATTGACATGATGAAAGAAGCAGGATTCATTAAAGTATCAGCGATAGATAAAACGGACGATATACTGCGGGCACTTGAACGGGAATTGCTTCTTGTTAAGGTAACCATTGTGCCATTAATGTGTGACTGTATTCCAAATACTGTATAACGGAAACTTTTGGCGGCCAAAATTCGTTTTTTATTTTTAACGTTTTCCGCTCAATAGATCCGATGAATTATAAAATATCAACTTTTATTCGATTATTTTATGCTATGAACCAATCAACCAATCGGTTAATATTTTCCAATATACATCAATGTTTTAGTGCAACATGTTAAATATGTGGAATCATTTCAACGTTATTCATGACAACAGGTTATACATATATTATTACATGTAGGAAATGTCATAATAGGTAGCATTTACAAATATAAAGGAAAATGACCCGTTAAGGAAATATCTAAAAAATATCTTCGAAAAGACACGGGTGTTGATATTTTAATAGGTAAAGGTGCAGATATGAAAAGATTTATATGTTATAGATTTTTGATGGAATAAACAATAATTGATTTTATTTGATAAAGGTTCTATTTGTTTTCCAGGAACAATCTGATGCTGAATGTGCAGACACACTTACAGTTAGGAGAAAGATAGTTAATAAGCTTAAAAGTGGGGATTCATGGATGATTTTCTATGGAGAAAAACAATTATCGTAAATGGATTTGAAATTGGTCAAAATAGAAATGAAAATCGTATACATTGCAACATATATTTATATCCTCTCATTAATATTCACATTATATCCTTAGTGTGACGCTCCTCGTTTATGTCTACAGTAAAAATAATAAAGTACTCGTCGATTCATTTACCATCTCGCTAACCGCCAGCATTTCCAATAACCACCTTCCCTTTCAATTCCTTTATGCGCCCCTCATTATGCTACATTTTACTTGTCAAATATGGGATTTAACAATATTTTGTTAAAGCTCATTCTATATGTTCATACAACTTTCCGAACTTTATTTGATTAATAGCATAGGCAAAGGAATTAGACACAGCTTAGCTTACTTCCTCTTCTTTTAAATAATTAATTGCACAGGGATATTATAATTCAACTGGCAGCATACGTGATGTATCGTTCATATCGATACACAAAATAACATTATTACATGTAAGTATAGGTGGATATGAAACAATATTTTTCCAAATACATACATCATAATTATTATTCATACAATCTATACGTTGAAAGAAAACATATACTTTTCACCTTGTATTTTATATAAACTCCTGTATGTGATTACAGGTAAATTATTTATGAAACATTGAAACCAAGTTGATCAACTGATTGAATGTTATAACTCATCAACTTATGTATCTCATACAGAAAAATAACCAATATGTGAATATAGTCACCAACTTAATCAGTAAGAGGGTTAAATATTTATAATGCAACAACATTCTGTGATATAAACTAGTTGATTTCTTCATAAAATATGTTATGATGACGTCATTGTTCATGCGATGCATTATATATACCCATAGTGTATATAGATGAATTTGAACCAGAACTTCGTTTTGACTGCATGCCTTTCTATTTCTGAATAAGTTTTTAAACTCCTTAGTTAGATTAAAGTTTAGAGAAAACACTAATAATGATAGTGATACAATGTAATAATATTAACATATCAAAATCATATTTGATGTACCTGTAACATTTGTGAGAATAGTTTAGATCGCTCGTGGTATACAATCCTATTGTTATTAAAGAAATAACACTGATATTGTAATTAATACAAATATTCGAATTACCTAGTTCAGTTTCAGAAAACCAAGTATGCATCATTATATAAACATGATTACACAACTAGGTAACAACATGTGAAACCCATAAACTTTACCAAACAAATCACATATCAATTGCGATGAATAAGTTGGAAATCGACTCACGCAGATACCGTGTTATCAGCAGACATGCACTTTAACGACTACCTGTTCCGGTTGTTTTACATAACGTTATCTTCATGACGTTATTTACACAGCGACAGATAAGCGATACTAAACAAATAACTACAACACTAGGCATTCCCATACACATATAGAAATGATGATAACCAGAGACGACGATAGCCGGATCTACTCTATACAATGAGAATGTGGAAACAGAAAATATGAAGAGGATTGGACGATCTTATTTCTCAGACACAGGATTTTGATAAAAGCGTAAGTTGATAGTTTTAATTTTGTGTTGATATCATTGTGTCACTTATATATGTATCAGTATTGTGTTTGCTATTACCTAATGAAAGTAATATAAGGATGGGCACAATGACAACTTCCGAGATCTGATTCATTATATTTATCAATAATTAACTTTAGTTGAGGTGAAAATGTGGTTATATGGATCTGAAAATGTGATATAGACCGGGCGAAGTCAAGGTCAATATCACTTCGTCTCGGTCAATATTTTGTTGCCAAAAATATGTACAAAGAATATAAGCAGTTGTAATGCTTTCTCGTTCACATTCCATCACAGTTTAATCAACCTCGGGGAATCTCGCTTCACAATTATCAAAAGTAATAGGAACCTCTTTGAGTTTCTCTTTATGAGGTGAACATATCCCAAAGTGATGTTTAAGATAGCATAGCAGTGACCAAGACACATATTGGTTTAAAACCAGATGCTATTATCACTTTTAAGAAATATTCATTTAGTTTGAATTAAACAAAATTCAAAAATGTGTTATGAGAAATAAATAAAAGCATTGTGTTTTTTGTTTGTATTTTAATATATTGTAAGTTGTATTATAAAGTGACCATCCACAAAGATGGGTGTAGCCCTTCCTTTTTTATGAAATAATATCGACAGATCATCATTTTTATCATGTCTATTTAAATGCTGAATATAAAATAAAATCCATAGCAAAAAAAGTAGAAAAAGTTACATTGCTACACTGTATGATACAGCTCATAATGTGTGGTTTTATCATTTAAAAATATAGTGTTCTATATTATCGTTATAAAATATACATATAGATTTTAAAAAATGATGTATCCAGTAACGTATCATCACATTGTGTATTTACAGAAACAACCAACGAAACGACTTTCTAAGATGAAGAGTTGTAATGGATGTCGTAATGGCGACGTTAATTTCTTCGTGTATCTCGTTGTTATCTTATTCGGCGTGGGGTCATGGGTAGCGGTCAATGGTGTTTGGGTAGAATTACCCATCATGGTCCCAAGTTTACCAGAAGGGTGGAAACTTCCATCGTATCTGACAGTAATCATCCAACTGGCGAACATCGGTCCACTCCTTGTTATGTTGGCATATCTGTGTTGCAAGAACAAACTGAATGAGAAAGTCATTGTTTATGGCATTCTGATAATCGGAGCTGTAGCATGTGTGCTGATGGCTTTTTTCTGGGATCAAACATCAACATTATTCGGTGAGGAGCATAGTGTGGCTTTATTTGTCCTTGACTTTTTCCTTTCATTTGTTGACTGTACATCGTCTGTGTTATTTCTGCCATTCATGGCATTATTTCATGTTAAGTACATGACAGCGTTGTACATCGGGGAAGGACTCAGTGGACTTTTGCCTAGTTTAGTAGCCCTTGGACAAGGAGTGGGCAAGATGACTTGTCAAAATATATCTGATGTTAACCAAACAACAAACGTTTCCTATTTTCACATAAAACCTGTCTACCAAGAGCCTTCATTTCCATTCGAGTACTTTTGTTTCTTTCTGTGTGGTATGATGTTTGTGTGCGGTGTGGCATTTACCTTACTTAACTATCTTCCTTATTGTAAAAAGGAACACGTCACGCACAAATTTACAACTGCTAAAGAAATGTATGATCTCAGTGAACAAAATGAATCGTCAGTGAAGGAGGCTTCCAAAAGCATCAACCCTGCAAACTTTGCATTCTATCTGTTTCTCATAACAGTGATAAACAGTTTAACTAACGGTGTCCTAGCAGGAGTCCAGTCTTACTCTTGTATACCGTACGGAAACGACGCCTACCACCTGACAGTAACGCTCTCCAAAATTGCTAATCCGGTCACGTGTTTTGTGGCCTTTCTTCTTCCGGTCGCATCAACCATAGTTATAACAATCTATGTTACAATAGCAACAGGGATATCGGCTTACATCATATTGATGGCTAGTCAAAGTCCAACTCCTTGGTTGTACGACGATGCGGCCGGTCCACCACTAATGGTAAGTGTTCTACTCGTATATTTCTATAAATATCGGAAATGCTTACGCAAAAAAGGAAACAATTAGCATTGATTCATTCAGTGTATACCGTGTAGTAATTATATTTGAATTACGATTCAGCATTTTTACAAATATTTTTTCATTAAAACATCAGAAACTAAATATGACTTTTTCTTTCAGTCAAATTACAATTATGAAATTATTGTTTTTATCAGATATCGGCCTGGGTGATTATGGGATCCTTAATGACGTTTTCTAAGTTGTCCATCGCCTCAATCCTTAGACAGGAAGGAAAGCGGGCCCTGATATGGTGTGGAGCAGTAACTCAGATAGGCTCGCTTATCGGTGCTGTTCTTAGCTATGTATTAGTGAACGTTTTGACCTTATTTGAAAGTGCACCCGTCTGTTGAATATATATATATATATGTGTATATATTGACTCTTTAAGGTGTTATTACTATATTTATTTTTATAGATAGTTTTTCGATTGTGAATATCAAGTACATTTTATATCAACCTGCAAGTACATGTCTCATTGTGAATTTTGTTTCGTAGCTCCAATAATGATTTATTTAATGCTGCCGTGCTTTATGTTATATTATTCGTCGTCTTTTAAAATAAAGGTACAGAGTACAAATAAAGGAACAATGTACCAAAAGAAATCGATAAAAATAGGAATATGATCATCTTTAAGATGTTATTAATTAATACCTATAGAAACAAAATGACTAATACAATATATTGCATATGTAAAAGTTTTAATTCTACTTTTATAGAAAATATGTTAAATTCGCAACCATTGTATGCTTTTCAAACTGCAGACGCTTGACACTTGCATTTACTCGGAAAATGGGTAAAATCAGAGGTGATAGCTGGTGGTTGTGTATGATGGAGACAGACTAATAATAGCCTTATAGTGAACTCATTGAGTGTTAGATATGCGAGAACGATATGTACACATGTGGTATGGAAGTCTTCATTGAAAATGCATCTGTGGTAATATCAAAATAAACGATTTTTAGCGGATAAGATCTATGTCTGAATTAAGAGTCGTTATAACTTTAAATTACTCGTTGTGTGTACTTTTTCGCGAATCATTCCTGTAGACGTTATCTGCGAATGGTACAATTTGCTATTAAGATGGCGATATATCAAAGATGATAGTAATTATCAATGGCATTGAATTTTCACAGAATTTGTCATAGAAAATTTCAATTCGTGAGCAAGTCTTTGCGTGAAATAATGCAAAAAATGATGTCTCGCGAAATAAGATGAGTTACAGTATAAAACAAAACAAAATTGTTATAACGAGTAAGACACGCCCATGTTTACTGGGCTACTTTAATACGTGTTACATCATTGTGTATGGAGTCATTCCAAGCCACCACATTATATATCTTGTTTTATCTATGCACATTAATACGATACTCAAGCATTTATCCTAACAGATAACCTAACTGATTTAAACAGATTTATGCATGAAGTGACATCTGACATATTTTAAGGCACTTTGCCCGAGTAAGACCCCTGCTTTGTGTATGCTGTACGAGTATGTAGCATACAAGCTACAAAGCGTACCAAGTTAACAACAGTGTGGAAGTGTTGGCCGTTCAATTAGCATATCCGATTATACAGTCCATAGACAGTTTGTCTTCCTCACGATTGACTTACTACATTGTATATGACCTTCATACTGGGGTTCAGTTTTACCTTCGATAATCATACAACTGAATTATTGTCGTTAGAAATGATATCATTTCAAGACATAAGTCTACAAATATTGTATTCTGTATATTAATCATAAGTGAGCTGCATTGTATTTGACTCTTGTTGATTAAATATCATAATAAAAGAATTTGGCAGGCTTTTTGTCGAAAGGCTTAAAACATTCTGTAGATATGTTATTCCTTCTTCTCACAACATAGAAAAAGAAAGTGGGAAGCGAGAATAAAGAGAAGATATCAATCCTTAGTGTTGGAATAGGGATATCATATCAATGTTAGCTTGTTAAGTGTCCCTTACACAGACGTCACTGCCCCCCACCCCCCGCAAATCTCAAGGGACGCATATAATCACCTCTGACGCTAACATGCGGTTGAGTACGGTAGGCCTAATCTTCACCTGAACCTGTCGGGTTAGTACAGTTTCTGTGGACGTTGCCCTTCTGTACTAGCCGTTATTTGTCAGTCTCTCTCCTGTCATTTTATCAGGTATCGCGAGTATATAGGACGCATACGTGCCGCGTCTTATGCAACTAACGAACGTTGTTGTTTAGGTGAAACACAAAAATAACATGCACCAGGGCGAACTCGGATTACACTTACCATAAAACATGTTTATCAATATCATGTTGTTTGCCTAGGTTTGAGGTATTATGCTGTCACATGCTGAAAGGCTCATGTAATTTCAAAAGCTTAATATGTAGCACAACCTAATATATAATGTATGTGTGATCGTGTTGAAGATCACTGCACTTTAATTTATCGTATTTACAGTAACCTCCCCATAATTTCGATTTGGATATGGAAGCTGAAAAGTTGCACCAGAACGCGACGTAGGACAGTTAGCTCAGTTGGTTAGATCGTTGGTATAACAATCTGAAATCTTTGGTCCGAATCCCGGTCCCTGTTGACGTTTTTACACTCAGAACACTTTTGTTGATGAGACTTGTTTTTTTATCTCATCTTTTATTTGTCATACCAGTCCCGGTAAAATCGGTTTCCAGTGCATAGCACAGTTTTTGGCAGTTGTACGGGGATCCTTAAGTTGTATTCTTGATTTTAAATTCATCATCCATCAAAACAGTCTACGGTGATAAATTACAAACATAGCATGATGACTGTATTTCACAATGTACGTTTCAGAGTTTGATTATAGCCGCCGTTTCCATTGTAATTGTCTGACCCAGAGCTATATTATAAGATATCTTCCTTTATCAGTAATACACACGATGACAGTCAATTAGCTGTAAAATTACGTGGGTAGAGATAATATGCCAGAAATGAATTTCAATCCTAGTATAAGCGTCCTTGCAAAATTATCAGAACGGCTTTAAGTAGATGCCTTATTTCATACAATTGAAACATGTTGTTGTATGGTACTTACTGGGAGGAAACTGCCGATAATCTAGGACAGAGTGGTGTAGTCATTAATACATGCTTTTTGTTTTTAATCTAATAGAAAAAAACCGCCCATTGGAAACGAAAATATAGTTAATGTAAAAACTCTATAACAACTGAAATCATAATCACTTTGATGACTATTCTTCTGTTCAGGAAAGCGAATCTTCTGTGAAATACCCCCCCCCCCCCCCCCCCCGCCATCAAATAAGTTTATAAAGTATTGTAATTATTTTGACCTCCGGTGTACTTTATTATTAATGTGGTAATTAAGTAACAGCAATAGTGTTCATGGTTTGAAACAAAGCACGAAAACAAATTTTGGTCGCCATGCCTACAACTCCTTAGGAAGACATCATGAAACAATGTATGTTACGACTGTCATTAAAAAGGGCAGTGTAGGTGTAGCGTAGAGCCACTCACGATGTCACCGTGAGACAATAGAACATTACGAGTGTCATAGACATGCTGACGAACTAAAACCGGTCCTCACTAGGCAAGGTTATCTTTAAAACTTGACGTCGTATTTTACGAGCACAGAGCAATAATGAAAGTGTGACGACCCCGCATGTGTTCCAAGTCCATAATTCATCCTAAACGTGTCTCATCTTAACTTTTATAAATCACTACATTTCGATTAGTTTTCTTGGATTTTTTTTAATCCTGTCCTACGTGTTGTTGTTTTGATCAATTTCTTTATGATCATATCCTTAAAACATCATCATAACACCTTCCTTATCTTAGTGAAGGTGTTTGATATTAATAAAACACCGTGGAAATTTCAGGATAGTCTGAGCGTCACACCAACGCAAAGGAAATGTGACGTAATCGTGTTTAATTACACCAATCGCGCACGCTTTGCACATTTCAATATCATTTATGTACTTAAACCAAATTACAATTTAAATGATGTGTCAGTCATGCAAATTAAAATTACCAATAATTCAGGCAAGCGTGTTACACGTCATCAATAACAGCTATAGCTGTATGAATATTGGATGATCAACAACCATTTACATTATGATAGAACGCCTGAACCATATAATTAGTGGAATTTTCAAATTGATTTTTCTTTCATTTTTGTATGTTCTATTAAGATGAGGTCTTTTTACTTTTTCGGGTCGTTTCATGTTTGTTTAAACAGGTGCCACTTACCCCATTGTGTCATGACCTTCAAATAACATTATGAACTATAGCTATTTCATTTAACCTCTTTGAATTACAAGTTAAGAATCTACTTGCCGATCAAACAACTTACCGATGCACCTACATACGATTTAATTGATTTAAGAATCACGAATCACTAGATAGAATACTGATTTGAGGAAAAATCGTTATGAATTGACTTTGTCATAGAATTTGAGAATCCACATGTAATTAGATTGTCTCCCTTGGATTGAATGTGCGTTTGATTGACATTATACGTGTTTTAAACAATGGGTTGTACACATAATTGAAAAATCTAAAGAATCCTGTCACCCAAACTGTGTATAATCATAAAACTTTTATAGTAAAGATAGAGTAGGGAAAGACCGTCAAAAAAACCGAAACGACAACACACAATCAGAAACATGATGTCCGCTCCCTTCCTCTACATAGAAGTTATCATCTGCTGTGCCCCATTGAACAAAGTTAAAATTCAGGAACATCTTTCCACACAATTTAAAGGTGTCCATGGTATTCCTTCGCGTATTTGTTTACGTTTGTCTCCGAATCTTGATGATCATTTGGCCTAAAAGTCGGATGAAAGATATGCAATTTAACTGCTTTTTGGAAAGGAGAATTATGTAAGGAAGCAGTATATAGATGATAAACAGTTTAGATGATAAATGAATAAACATTAAATGAAATTATCAATAATGTTCCAAAGTTTACATACGTGACTAATGAGCTACACCGAGTATATTACAAAATGAAATCTTGATATACGATACCTGTTTGTGCTATAATGAATGTTAAATATCTTGCTTATCTCAAATCCATTTTTGTTTTCTGTACAAAATGACATTTTCGACTGCGAAAAAGAATATCTTGATGTCATGATGCAAATATGACGTCACAAAGTATGACGTTATAGTACATATTAACCGTTACGTAGAAATTATAATACGAAAATTGCAAACTATAGGAGAATGCATATTTGAAAGTTTAGTACGTTTAGTAAGGCAGAGAAAAGTAATGACCACCATAGGGTCAAATCGTTCATTTAGGGCTTATCAGAGGTACGAAAGAAAAAAAATAGGCCAATGTAAGTCTTAAGTGTTCCAGAATATTTGTAAAAATAAAGTAAAATAGGAAAGTTTCATATAAGGTTACAAATCAACAACTTTTAGGTAAGACAGACACTATAACTTTATGTTCAATCAGTATCACGTGTAAACAATGCCAGAACAAGGTCCGTCTGCAAAGTTACATTGTAAAGACAATATCGGGGACATAAACCCTGCGGCGTTAATTGCTAGATATAAATACTAAGTGATTAAGCTTCTACTTAAAATTGAGAAAGTCATATAAGAAACATAAAGCAATTATTAGAAAAAAGCGTTTATGAAATAATATAATATACCATATAACATGTTACACAGTATACTGTGTATTGACACATCACATGCATACATACATTCTCTGCTAACATACGAAAACAAATCTTGTGAGTAAAACTGAAACTATATTTCATTGTTACAGAATCCTTTAAAAGGTTTCTCAATACATATTATAACATAACTGCTAGCATCGCTGTGTGAGGGTAGTCATTGATCTCGAGAGAAGTATATCTATTGTGTGTCTATCAGGAGCTTCACGACTCTCCTATACACACACAGCTTCACCACTGGTTGGTACTCTCAGCACAGAGCAGACATAGTTTTAGACAGCGTTAGACACAACAGCAGTCACGTATAGCCATGCTACAGTTCAGCACATGTCTCAGGAGACAGTAAAGACAAGATTACAGGCAAATGGTATCAGAATGCTTTTTCTAAATGGATTGAGAAAATATTATATTTGTACAAATATCCTTGCGTTGACGTTTGCCTACCATATATACAATCAGGTATCAAAATAGGGCAATAGTCAACCAGAATAAATTCTAAGCATAATAACAATTGATAGTTCACGACTTTTTTAAAAATTGAATCTCTTCTTTTGCAGTACACATAAGTTTATGTTCACCGCAAAACAATTAATCACACTTATTTCTAATGTTAACCAATGTCATATTTTACGTATTAATAGAATGTGTCATTCGCTTTAAAGGAATTATAAGAAAACTTCATATATGTGTAGGGTGCGTAAACCTCCTACGTTATTACAAATCCTCAATTGTCACTGAAACTCCGCTAAAACGTTTACAATCGACACGGAAGTCAAGAGAATATATGTCCTTTGGAAAGCTGCTATATTTTTCCTATTCTCACTAGTATTCATTCGAGGTCGTTATCATCGATCCTTTCATACGGTGGCGGAAAAGTAATATGTAAATTCCTTAAGGACAATACAAACTTGGGAAAACATGAATGTTAAGGTAGCCTAATGTTTGGTGGTGTCAATTGTAGCGGTCGGGGAAAACCCTGACCTAGTTACGTTGATACATCACCAGTAAATACATTACCCCTGCTCTGTAACCTTAAATTTACTTACACATTGGGTGGTGTATTTGGGGTTTACTGTAAATAACCTTATTTTTGGGTGTACTTAATTCGCAAACATTATCGGTAGGTTAACTGTATACAATTACTCGCCAACAAGAAGGTACATTAACAAC